TACTTGCCCGCACGGCCATCTAAGTACTACGATCTACCTCTTATTGAATATATGATTTTACACATGATAATTTGACCACATATGGAGCTTGAAGCCTTTCAAATAACTGAAACTGTAAATGAAAAATCCCGCCATAGATCTGGATATTGGCTCGCTTTTAGAATAACAATCCGATACACACTGAAACAGATCGCGAGTAAGATAAAGTCGGCAGATTCAGATGTATTTGAATCCGCGGAAATTTCGAAAAATCCTATAGACACCATGCAAAGTCGCATACATGCTTCCACCAGCAGTAGCCCAGGCAGCGCCTTGGAAGCGCAGGGAGCTAATGGGAATAGGTCTCTGCTTTTTCGGCCTGTCTATTGAGGCAATGAACGTCATGTCTATTGCTGAATCAATACGAAAAGGATATCATACCTGTTACTACCGGCCAGGATCGGATTGGGAGCGTGCCGACCTGCTGGTCGAGCAGCGTTTGGAAATTGTTAATCGAAGACATCAGAAAATGTGTTTGTTTGATGTGGTTTGAGGTGGATTGGAGTCATGACATGCGAACTATCCCCACTTATTGGAAGAGCTTTTGTAGATTCCTCGAGAAATGAATGTCAGATGATAAACGACGTATCGATATAGTCAAGACGAAATCCATTGGTCGGATGTAGTTTGAACCATTGGGGGTTCCTGACTATAATTCGTCTGACAGTTCTGGATCCCTGGATACGAGGTGATATTTAGTTCGCCATCCGTGTTTTTCCACGAGGTGGCAAATCCAGACCTACCGAATTGTTGATAGGTGCTTAAAACATCCAGCAATTATTATTTACATACGATTCCATAAATAATAACCAAATATCAGGTCTAGTCCCTGTCTCCTTCGTCACTTGCTTTCATAGTTGGTATGTTTCACAAAATGTTGCCCGTCACCAAATCCCAATGTCAACATTGATATGCATATAGTGACAAGCAGATTCTAATGTATATTCTACGACTTGGAGATAAACCATTGATCGACCAGAGTAAATACACAGAACGGAGATAAGACCGAAATAGCCCTAAGTAACATGAAACCATCAACGGCGTTAAAACGCGTCTCCGAGACCAAGGGGCCAAGGAAATTCCCGGGTTGACTATGTAACAGCAGTTAAATAGCAAAGAAGAGAAGCGGGATACCAAAGAAACAAAGTAAACCAAACATCAACTCGAACACAACCTCTCATTCTATCTCTCCAAACCAACCTACTCTTCTAATACAAAAATGCCCCCAGCAGCTCCCACGCCGCACCAATCCTCAACTAGAGAAGCAATAACAGACACAATCTACCGCGGGGTCCTAGGAATCGACACGAACGATTTCGACCTATTCACCTCAGCGTTGCACGACAGCCCAACGACCAGCTTCGAAATAAACGGCGAACAATACCAAGGCATAGAAGCAATCAAATCCCAAGTCTTCGATAGAATCGGTCCGCTGAATACAACACACACCGTCAGCATGTGCGCATTGAGATGGAGGATGGGGCTGAGACGGCGTCTTTGACGGCTCATGGTTTGGCGCAGCATTATCGGGCTGGAGAGGGATTGTTGGGGGATTCGAAGGGTGTCTTGGTAGGAGGGTTGTATTTCGTTGATCTTGTTAGGAATTCGGATGATGGTTGGAAGATTACGACGTGGAAAATAACGATCATTTGGATGGATGGGGATAAGGGTGTCATTGGGCTTTAAGAGTGAATGACTAGATATAGATACAGAAAGTGGGAAAGAGTCTGTTGGACATATCTGCGTTAACGTTGCACGCTGTATTAATCGAATAGAATTGGTGGAAAGCTAATGAATATAAATAGGATATATTGCCTCACCCCCAAAAGCAGGCATAAACATCGTAACTCTAAATTGTATTTTTTTTATTTTGCGTTGTTTATAGCATGGTGAACATGGCTACACCGGCAGCAACCGCTGTGGAGACAATGGTAGGCAGTATAGCTGAGGCGGCACTTTCAGCCAAATAATTAACAGGCTCATAGACGTTGGGCTCGGTAGAGTTGACAGTGCCGTTCCAGCAGTAGCGGTCGAAACACTGGTTACAGATATCAGGGAGGGTAGTGCCAGTACGCTCGAAGGAGCGGCTGAGAATAGCACAGCCAACACAAGACGTCCAGTTGCCATCGCGAGTGCTGTTGGCCATGGTAGCAACCTCATAACCATTGAGAATTATACCATCACGCTGGTTGTCGTCAGTGCTCAGTTGGAAGGTAGAGATGTTGGATTGAGTGGAGTAAGGGGAGTTGGGGATGTAGACGACAAGGGGCGCGGTTCCGGTCAGGTTGGAGCTGTCGCAGCCGAAGAAGGTCGGGCGGGTGTTCAAGCCTAGATTGACGAAGGTGTTCTGGTCGGGGATCGAAGGGAAGGCTGTGCCGTTGCCGATGCCGGTGCTGTTCAGGCTGCGCTCGTAGGTGGCTACGAGAGCGGTACCGTTGGGCCAGTAGTAGGTTGTGTCGGCGGAGGAGTCAACGGCGAAGATGACATCGACGTGGCGCTCAGGCTGGATGAGGGGGTGGAGGGGGATGTTCTGTAGATCCTCGCCGCCGTCTACCAGGTCCAAGATTTCCTGCTGGGCGTACGGGGAGGTGTCGTTGTTGTACTGGTAGAAGGGGTTGGGGTCGTATGACGCGATATCATCATCTGATTTGTCGAGCTTGGTGAGAATGTCGGTGAAGACGTTCTTCAAGAAGCTAGGGAGCGAGGTAGTGTTGATCTGGAGGATGAACTGGTTGAAGAGAGTAGAGGAGGTTCCAATGATGAAACCGGCGCTATCGTAGCCGCTGATACAGGTCTCGTTGCTAGGAAGCGAGCCACCCTCGAAACGGGAGCCGAGGTACTTTAGAGGGATAAAGCCAAAGACAGTTGGGTCAAATGTACCGAACTCCCACGGGTTGAACTCATAGACGGTAGAGTTGCTTCCAACCACACGCTCACCGGGGTTGCGGCCATCCGCAACAACCAGCGGCATAGGATAGTTTCCATCCTGGAAATCCGTGGTGTCGGCGATGGAAGACCAGGTGTAGTCGATACCTCCGTTGCTCGCATTGAACATCTGATATGAGAGAGCACGACCCCTGTTTCAAGTTAGAACAGGAACAAAACAGTGGACACGAAAGACCATACCAGATATCAGTGATAGAAGCATCATAGCCAGCACCCCTCTTCCCATTAACAGCCTCAGCCAAATCCTTATAATAAGTAGCAGAATCCAAAAGCTGAATACCACCAGTATCAGGACCCTCGAGAATGGAATTCCCAAACTGCCAAACAGCACCACTCTTGTGCGTCTGCAGATTAGCAATGGTACTGAAGTTATTAATATAAATCGACCCAAGCAACCAACTACCGCCACTGAGACCAGCAATATAGGTAGAAGACTGCAGCAAACCACCCAGATGACCACTAGTCGAAGCATTCTCACTGCGGCTATCAAAAGCCTTAACAGCACCGGCGCCGTTCATCAGCGCACGGTAACCACCACCCGAAACAGCAATTCCAACATTAGGCAGGGCCGAAACATTGTTGGCGTGGTTGTTCAGGTACCCGACAACGTCGTAATCGCCGACTGTCACATGTCCGAAGAAATCCTTCATCGCCGACAGAGTCTTGTTGCGGCGGCCTTCGAGCCATGATGTCTCGTTCGTTGAGAGATTCGCTGCGCTGCGCACTGTCGGTCGGCTTGCTGGGCAGCTCACGTTGCTAGGGGTGTATCCATCGGGCGCGTCGGGTAGGGCTCGTTGCGCGACAGCGAAGGTTATGTCATTGGGGTTGAAGTCGCCCGGGGCAGCGATTGCGTCTGTGGAAGAAGCGGATTAGCTATACGATCGCGTAGCGTATTGTTTTGTTTGAAGTCATGTTGAAATTCTTGACACTCATCGCGGAGGTCTCCACACCTGATAAAAGGGAGGACTGGAAAAACGCGACCGAGAAAAAGAAAATACTTACTAGGCAAAAAGCCCAGCGTAACCGAACTGATCAGCGCGGAAGTCTTCATGGCTCTCACAAATCGCACAGCGAGAAGTCAAGACCATCGAAGGGATAGGGGGATACTTATGCACCGGGGATGCCGGATGCCCAGCCAAGGGAAGCAGTTCGGCATGTTCAGCATAGCTTATAGTGCAGATTAGTTCCCCCCGGATCGCGAATCATAGTGCAGCGAGTGGACTGCGAGCCGGTGGAGCAGTGACATCAAATGTCGGAGCCCGAGGCTTCCGTTTATGACATTCTTGGTATCCCTAGCGGTGTGCATCTTCTGAGGCGCAGGGCTGAGATGAGATGCACTCTGGACGCTGGGCCCTAGGCTGAAGTTGGAACAGCCACAGCCGCGATCGTCGGTGTGAGAGTCTGATACGAACACGAAGTGCCTGAACAGGACATGCAGTGTATCAGTGGATTCGGCTAGGCCGTGAAGCACAGGCATCCGATACACCCATTGCTAGGCATCTGCATTTTCGATGCTATTATTGGATGGGGCAGCCTCAAATATCGCAGATGTTATGCTGGCATAATAGTAGTGCCTAAAAGTGGGCTCAGGCTCATTTCAAGGCCCCCAGTCTGGGTTGGTTGTGTTGGCTGTGTTGGCTGTGCTGTGGCTAGGACAGTGGAGATGTTGAATGCGGATTTTGTTTTCGTTCCGAAGTGGAACCGATTGCTGGGACAACTTTGAAATTAATATCGAGATCAGGTTTGAACCGTTGATTCGCAGTTGAAGATTATACATATATGGGTAAAACTCGCGGTCTATGCTTATACAAAGTGCAACATATGCAATCCCTCGGTAAACCGAGATCGACGCTCTAAACTTGTGGAGAAACAGTCTGCAGAAAAACGAACGAATGATTGGCAACCGTAATGCATTGATACGTTAATTAATCCAGCGTCCATTATTCGCAGAACCCAAGGTAAGTGAAGATATCCTCCAGAACATCTAGGTATGCACTGAAAAATAAAAATGTAAATTAACCACGAACAGGTCCGATCTCAGCCGCATCGAGGTGAGCAACCTGCTTCTCATTGGCTTCCACATGACCTTCGGGCAAGTTGTTCAGGACATCTTCCTCCAGGTCGAGCTGCCAGAACTGCCAAATGAATCCGCAGCCACCGGCAAAGGCGAGGACAGCAAAGACACCGTAGTTCCAGATCAGCAGGGGATCCTTGGCTAGCGGGTTCAGAGCCTCGGCAATGGCAGCGGAGATGGCGTTGGTGAACAGAGAGATAGCCTGGACGAGGGAACGCATGTTACGGGGGGCCTTGGAGTAAGCGTACTCGAGCGAAGTGATCGAGGCGAAAATCTCCGAGAAGGCAATCAGGACGTAGCAACCGGTTTGGGCCCAGACGTTGAGAGGGGAAGGGCTGACACTTCCATCCTCAGTGTAGCAGTTGTTGGCATCGGTACCGCAGGGTGAGGTCTTGTAGATGTAGTACTGGATCACAGCAGCCCAGACCATAGCCAAAGCTGCCAGCCAGAAACCAGCGGTGATCTTCTTGATGGCGGTGAATTGGATGCCCATCTTACGCAGACCGGGGTACAGCAATGCATCACAAATGGGAATGAAGATGATCAGAGCGAAGGGGTCCAAGTTGTTCACCACATCGTTAGGCACACCGTGAAGGGTCATGGTGCTAGCCTGCGAGGTGAAGTTGTTGGTCAACTGGCCATATGCCAGCCAGTAGAGAGGATACCAACAGAAGACGGCGCAGGCAGCGAAACCACGACGAACTTCGTCCACCCAGGCATCGTCGAAGGTCATCCACTTGGGACGGAATCGGGGCTCGATGTTCGAGGGTTTGACGGACTCCCAGAGGGTGCCATCGTGGGTACGCTTCCAGAAGACGAACGGGTTCCAGGACCAGCGCTCGCGCATCACGTAGAGGAAGACCCTGACAGCCTTTGATGTGACGGAACCCTGTGGGGGAGTCTGGCGGTAGCGCTTACGGCCCCACCACATGACGAAAGGCGTAGTCATGAACATCACAGTGGGCAACAGGTATGCGAGCCAGAAACCGACATACTTCTCTGCGTAGGCCATACCGATCTGGCCGACCAAGGCACCGATGTTGATGAATAGATAGAAGTAATGGTAGATGCGACTCTGGGTGATAGTCGGGTCGATCACGACACGCTCACCGGAAGGCAGGGTGCGCACTCGAAGGTTCACGGCTGGAATCTGTTCGACGACGAGGGCAGAGATGTTGGGCTTAAAACCACCGGTTCCGAAACCCATGATAACCACACCAAGCATGAATACACCGAAGCAAGCATTGGTGTTGGTGATCACAGGGGGAATGGCCGAGATGACAAGAATCACATGGCCAAGAATGGCAAAGCCAATAGACCAGCAGATAGTCTTGTATCGTCCCCAGTACTCATCGGCGACATAGGCACCTAACAGAGGAACACAGTAGCACCAGAACGTGTTGAAAGTGTTGATACCATTCGCGGTCTCGGGGCCCTTTCCCAGAGCTCCAGACACACCCTGGGAAGTAGAGCCACCAGCTCCAGTGTTGTGGTGAGAGCCTGCAGGACCGTAAGGCGCAGGGAGAGGAAGCGAGTGGTTCACAAAGTTGGAGTCTGTAGACACATGTTAGAAGTTGACTCCTCCCTCGTAAAGATTTAATGGGCATACAAAGAACTTGAGTTCCGTAGTAGGAGAATCGCTCGCACAGCTCGACGAAAGCGACGGTGTATACAGACCACGGAATGGGAGCAGACACACGACGCAGCGCGGTGGGACCGTGAAGGTCCTCCTCAGTTGGGTCCTCGTCACCGAGCCCAAGGCTGTACGAGGCGGGGAGAATGTTCTTAGAGGGCTTCTCCGCATCAGTCTTGACGACAGTGACCTCAGTATCACGAATCGCGAGCGAGTCGGAAGATCTGTTCACTGCTTGAGTGGCCATCTTAGCAAGAAGGACGAGGCCGGATCAAGAACAGTGAAGAGATGAAGATGAAGAAGGTGAGTGAAAACAAAAGTCGCGCGAAGGACGAACACCTCTGACTTATACGTTCGGGAATCCAAACTGAGAAACACGGGTCGTTTCAACGTGACCAATTGCAAATTTTCTTCACCAGGTACATGCATGCCTCGAGCTCATAAAATGGCCCGAGGCTTTGGCAAAGTAACCTAAGCTCGTTAATATTTTACCCCGGACTTATCACGCCACGACGGCGCTATGCTTCAATGGGTGCCATCTCCGTTGGGGCTTGTAGATAAGGCTCAATAGCCGGCGAATGAACCAGCGTAATTCGCTCACTAAATCCCTAGTGGATACAACATGTGCCGTGCAATGTAACTTGGCCGGAAAAGACCGCGGCCGGTCATTTCTAATTGGGTAGTACTGAAGGAAGACATCAAGCTAAGACAAAGCTTAACAAATGATACAAAGACAATATGGGTGAATTAGTGCCCTCGGTTCGCATGATACGCGACATGAAATCGAATTATGCTTGTCTAATGATCATTGGATATGTTGCAAAGGAAATCGGGCCATGTGAAGCAAAGGAGGAGGAGAAAGAACCTTTGGGGAGTCCGACGGAGGTGCGGCGACGCACGGACACCCCGCTGTCCCAGGGAAGCTTAGCCATGCTTGTTTGGCTTCGGCGACATCCGTGTTGGCTCTTCCGCTATCAGATATCGCTTTGTCAGGAGATTAGCAATGCCATTTCCTGCTAGGTTCCAAGGTCCAAGCATGCCTGTACACTTCTAGAACTATTGGAATGGTGACAGTTCTGCTAGCGCCACGGCCCCCATCCACCCATGATTATTTTCATCAACCAAACAGGACCAATGTTTTAATCAGTGTGGATGTAGGTGTATCAGGCTGATAAGAATATCCATGTACAGTACTTCTTGTTGCAGTCCCCACTGATAGAAACAAGGAACTTGCGATCGGTCAAAGCGAATCAGATTCCCTGTGCTTTGCGCCACCTACTTGAATCAGGCCAGGGCCATTCGAAAAGGAACTGTCGCCAGCCAAGAAGGAAATTTCACCAAACCTTGTATGCCCCTATCTGCTATCACCCGTAGAATACTACTTCAGGTGGCAACTCAAACCAATGGGAGACGTCCCGGTTAGTTCAAAGAAAACACGAAGAACACGCCTGGAATGCAAATATTATATTTGCCTTTACTTGGCCCTGTTACAGCCTAGTGCTCTAGTGCAAGTTAAACAACCCTGGTGCGACTAAACATGCGGGCGATTTCCCTTTCTAAAACGCTTCTTTGGGTACAGATACCGCCACTATTCCCTCGGTAATCAAGACAGACCCTGCATTTTCTAGCGTTAACAGGAATATCGTGTTTCCACTCAAATCCGTGCGTTTAATTTCATTATAAGCGCCACATAATTGCCAGGACATGGTCTGGGGCGGGTCCTTGGAGTTCGGGCCTCCAGTGTAGTCTAAACGGTACACCCATCGTCGCGCAAATACAATTCACTAAAAATGTCTTAGCCAATCACTGTGGCCGAGCTCCAACCGCCTATCGAGGTATCAGCCTTTTGGCCCTTTTGAGAGGCTTTCAAGGGGAGTTTAAAATCTGCTGCGAAGCTTCGAGCGCCCCGCCTAACAACCATACGTAATCTGTCTATAGCAATCAATAATAATAAGCACGACAATATAGCAAATTAAAAATGGATGCACAACCATATCCCTATCATTGTTTCTAGAAGCTGGGTCGAAGAGCCATACGTCGGATAGTTCCGGATGTCTTGTTCTTCGTCTCGATTCTTCCATAGAGATTAATCCACCTCTGCGCCTATCCATAATGAACATAATTATACGATCAGCTCCCACCGGATAATGCTCAACATATCACACCCCAAATCCCGGAATATCCGCAAATAAGCGAGCACAATATCGGGCAGATAACGTGAGAATCCCTGCAAACAAAGATCCCTTACATCCAACCCCAATAAACAACCCAAAACCAAAACTAAGAGCTGATTGGCTCAACGACAGTGTTTAATTTTCACCAATCGACAAATGGAGCATCCCAGAACCAACACATCTTGATTGGCCTTTGGAGGCACACATTCCCCACGTCCCCAAATAAATAAATACGGACAAATTCCCATGGTTCTTGGCGATGTCTTTTGATGACGAGTACAGAGTCTATGCCATCATGGATCGTGGATGTCATGCGACTTGTTCTAGTTGTTCGGTTTACTATATTGAGTGATAACTACATATTGTTTTTTAGAAGTTCGATGTATATTAGCGTTTTTGTAGATCTTGGTCATGTGTCGGTCCCCGGCGGTAGGCTTACTATGTGGTACATTGCGACTGGATAGCCTACCACGGCTTTTTGTCGGTGAGTGTACTCAGAAGATACTTGCCGGGTGAGATGGAGGAGGTGTGCTCAAGTGACCAGGGCCTCCTTACAAGGACATCCAACATTTAAGCCCCATTAGGATGTGGGTAGTGTAAGTTCACAGAAAGACTTGTGAGTGGGGCAGATCTGTCAAGATGGGGGTGGGTCAGATTATATGCAGCTAAATACTTAAAGTCAAGGTGTACAGATGAGAAGGCAGACCCAAGGAAATATTAGAGCGATCGTTTTGTAGTCTAGCATCATAATGACAGCAACCGTGTACTTCAGAACCAATTACAAGTACCGCTGTCCGAAGAAAGTCTCGCTTCGCTGTTCCTCCTATCCTAGCCCATGACATAAGGAGCCAAACCTAATTGGATCAAAAAGAAAAAGAAAAACAAAAGAAGAAAGAGTAACGCCATGCAATGAAAGACCAGCTAAATCAAGATGTGCGATGATCATATTCCAAAAGCAAGTCATCGCCATCAATCTACCACGCGGCGTGGCCACCATCCATGCGCAGGTCACTACCAGTCATGAACGAGCTAGCGTCACTAAGCAGGAAGACCGCAGCACCACGGTACTCCTCGGGACGAGAGAGACGACCAAGCATGTTCTCCTTGGGCCACTGTACCTCGCGCTCAGGAAACTGAACGAACAAGTTCGTAACCATAGACGTGACAATGTAACCCGGAGAGATAGTGTTGACGCGGATGTTGTACTGGCCCCATTCAGCGGCGAGGTTGCGAGCAAGTTGGATGACGGCTGCCTTGCTAGCGTTGTAGGCGGGGCAAATAAGGCCCTGGAATATAAGTTGTCAGATTCTTGTACTTCAAGGATTCGAAAATGGTGATGTGGTACGGGGGAGATAATGCGGGGAAACAATAAAGTTCCACCCCGTGGAAAGCCGGGGGTGACACGTCAATGAGAGTGAGATTCCCGTAGTCATGAGATATTTTGGATTGACAGGGGGTAGGGTAAGACGAAGAGAAGTGGGAGGAACATACCCGATTGACAATAGTGCCACTCATAGAGGCGATCAGAGCGATACTACCTCCGTTCCCAAAGCGAATCATTTGCTTGGCCACTGCCTGCGCGGTCATGAACACACCGGTGACGTTGACTTCGAACATGGTGTTGCTGTCTTTGGCGGAATACTCCAGTGCCGGGGTCTCCTGTTGGATACCCGCGGCAGCAATGAGACCGTCCATGCGGCCTTCCTCGTTGGCGATGCTCTCGACCACGCTGTTGAGGAGCTCTGTGTCACGTACGTCGATACGACGGTAATGCAGCTCGGTGCCGAGTTCCTTTGCGCGCCGTTGGACCTGGATGAATTCGGGAGCCTGATGTAACAGGCTTATTAGTCTCGTTCGGGGTGTTTGGGATATTCAGGTTTCAACATACCGGGTCCTCAAGACGATCAAGCGCATAGACTTTTGCGCCGGCTTCCAGAAGGGCCTCCGCTTGGGTCAATCCGAGACCACGGCCAGCACCTGAGACTAGCACCACCTTGCCGGCGAGGCTGAACTCGGGCATTCTGGACTTCTGTCCGAGTAGAATAGGCTCAGAAGACATAGGGGCAGTGGGAACGTCGGTAGTTTCGATGGTGACAGACATTGCAAGAGGAGATATTAAACAGTAAGGTCTCAATGGAAGAGCTGATGATAATGAAGCGAGGATGAATGTATATTAATATGAGCGTAGTACCAGCACACACGGGAGTATCGGATATTAGATGAAAGCCAAGATGATTCAATTGGAAAACTATCGTGGAATGAACTCTCTTTAAATAATGTTATTTCACGATCCGGCACAGTCCAGCCGGAAAGCCAAGGGCAGGGTCCGAACAGACCGGTCTCGTGAGCTTTGGAAGAATCCAAAAATGGAAATTCAGACTGTACCAAGCGCGCTGCAACGCTTCGGTCCAGACCCCCGAGGAATGCGTCTAAGCGGCTGTGGCGAGGCCTATCCCTTGTACATTACATCTATACACTATAGCTGGTGTATTACTGGATTTCCAGGCTAGTACGAAGTATAGATTGTGTCATAATTACTCAAAGTTCGTTTAAAGGTTTCGTGGTTGATTTTCTTTCCAGCAAGTTGGACACAGTTGAAATCCAGGATAAACTCGTCGGCGTGGGGAATATTGGAAGTCACCAGACAAGAGTTCACGATGTGGCAGATCGGGACCCAACGATGGCCACCCGGATTTCTGGTTTAGGCAAGCCGTCTGGGGAACCCGGGGAACAACGCCACTTTAATTTTTTCAAGTTTTTTATTTTTGTCTGAGATCCAGGTGACCTCGTGAAAGTTTAATACAAACACATATACCTCGAGACGGACATTCTAGAAATTAGTCCAAGCACCTAAAATACCGGGATCAAGTGATCATTTGCAGATCCCCCGCCAATCACTACAGTTAAGACTGCCCGTGCCTGTTCCTGTTCGATCGCCCCGGCTCCAGGATAACGGTCTAGAGATCATTGGCCAATTCAGTGTTCAATTTCTTTTTCTCACCGTGCTTACACCTTATATAGCCTATTCTAGATCTTTCTTAGGTGACACGCCAACCAAAAAAGAATACGTGTCCCTCTCGCGTTTTAAACATTGAACTTACATTTGCCTACTGTACCGTCTGGTACCCCCGGATCTGCGGGGAACTAAAATTAGCCGAACATAGGGTGTTATAGCTTATCTCCAACTGTAAAAGTCTTGTGACCAGCAGAATCTTCCATTCCAAAGCTCCTTACTCAATCGGGCGATTCCGAGACTCTGTGAACGCAATTAACATTTCCATCTTCTAGAATGATCCTACCCCTGACTCTTACCCCTGCCCCGGCTTCTGGGATTCTTGCTGACGAACCCCCACGCTCTAGACCCCTAATCTAGGTTGTTGTCGCTGCAGAATAGTAGATCTATGATCCTGGTCTGTGCTGGCTTACCCCTTTCTGCTTTGTCTTAGTGTTTCGCTTGTGCTGTATCTCTTGCCTTACCCGTGGGGTTCCTGGGTTTTGCGGCTTAACCGGCGTGGCTTTATTGCTGGTGTGGCCTTGTAAAATGTCGGTGAATGGGTTGGGCCAAGTTCTGACTGTCTCGCTTTTTGGGATTGATCATATTTTTGATTGCCGCGTGACATTTGAGGTCTCTTATTGACGTGGCCTCTCAAACCGCTCAAATGGCACCAAGACGGACGGGCATGTTCAAAACATTCGGCATGGCGCCGCCGCAGGTGTAGTTAACGTTTATTCACTATAGTCATTTAACACGATCAACAGGGTGCTAACGTGATATTAGTCATGTCTAGTTCTCTGTCTAGTAGTTATCAGACAATTATAACGATGCTGGTTGGCCACTCCTCTTCGGGACTTCCTTATACGCCGCACCTCGTAAACGACTTGTCATTTCCTCTCCTATGTAGCTCTCGTCATCGTGTTGGCGCGGCCGAAGCTTCAGCAACGCAAACCTAGGGTAGAGTAGTCGCTCTTCGCACCTGGCACCATCTGGCCTCTGAGATTGTAAGATGAGCAAATAGAGAGTTTCACCGGCCTTTGCGACCTGGATCAGTGTGGAGTTCTTGCTACTACTCGGCACTATGATGGAGCGGCTAATGTAGGCTCTCGATAGGAAGTCTGGCCTCATTAGGACGGCCTGTGCCAGCTTCCTCCTCTTTGCCAGCGGCCCAAACCGCGTCAGGACCCTCTGTGCGAGACTCAGTGAGCTCAGCAAATTTCTCGAGTAGCTGCCAATTCTCAATTGGGTACGCCGGTACGGTGCTTCCAAGACTAGCTCCCTGCATTCCACATAGCCGAAGCCGTCATGCAGCTTGCCATGCATTTCAACATTCAATATCGTGGCAGGATGGGTATAGCGGTCGAGCCGATGGGGCCATTCTAATCTGACAGCAGAGTTGACTCTGCCCAGCTCCACGACAGTCCGTGATGTTTGGACTCTCCACAATCCTGCACAGTACTGGTCTTCCAACAGCGAGTGGAGATATTTGCCAACTGCTCCGATCACGGCAGACAGTCCTTTCCAGATGTGAGATGTCGCTCCGTGTATCTTTTAGCAACTTGTACCAAGCATCGTACCTGGCTACCCCGGAAGTTATGAAGACTTTGGTGTCAGAAAACGAAGATAGAAGGTCTTGGAACAGGAATAGGTCCTTCTTAAACTCCTGTGATGGCTCTTGAGCCACACCAGAGCGGCACCTCCACGTTATCAGTCCTGTCATGTAACAAAGGATGTTTGACGGCAGCTCCTCCTCCGCAGCCGGGAAGGCAATTGTGAGAACAGAACTGCTAAAAGTTTTCACTCATTCTGGAAGATGGTATTCCGCTTCGTAGGCTATCAAAAGTCTCCCTGTTAAGTACGAAGCGCCAGTTCCCGCCCTAGCAATAGCTTAAGGCAGCCCGGTTGCCGCTTTCTCCGTCCTCGCTTATGTATAAATGCGGCCGTTCGAGCGTGCTACCAACGTCTAATTCGCGTCGGAAGCAGTGCCCGCGAGTACTTATCGAGCCATTCACCCCCAACAGACAGAGAAAGCCCCGAGCGCAGATCCGAGGGCCTCATGTCCCGTTCTAAGGGCAAGAAGGTGCGAATCTTCAAGTCGGAATTCTGCGCCTGTTTGAAATTAGCTTCAATTACTTAATCATCAAGGCCCTGCAAGCTGAGCAGGTGTAGAGGCAAGGGACCTACAAACCGCAGTACCTATCTCCAATGTGGCAGGCTATTCTCCATCCGGGTGCCGCTCATGATCATTGACATAACCATAACTTACAGATGGGCGTATAACCACGGAACCGGCTGGTAGATGGTAAACCGAACTTGTCCCCAATAATGGCTACACATATAATCATCCGTACCATATTGGGAATAAATGCCCGATTCTCTGATACCTCACAGATTATGAAAGAGCCGCTAAGCTGATGTGATGGGGCTGATAGTGAGGAGTCGAAAGGAGTGGCTGTTTGCACTGTTTGCACCGTTTGCACTAAATGTGGCCTATATAATACATCTTCTCCCCCCAAACTTCCTTCTCTTTTCTTTCTTCTTTAGCTCTCTTTGCCTATTGGCTTAGATCAAGTGTAGTATCTGTTCTTTTCAGTTTAATCTCTGAAAGTTCCCTATTGGGAACACTTTGATTATTCTCATTTTTGGATCCCGCAACTTGGCCTCTGTGCTTGCGCATGCCTCGTTGCACTGTGTCATCGGGCTTACACTACCCTCGATTGACGCGAATCCTTTTTCATCAACTGTGTCGGCTTGCCCGACCGCTTGGAGAAGAAGTTGTCCATTACGAAAAAGGGCTTTGTTGACCAGTTTCGTGAGGCAGTGAGGATGGTTTTCGAGCTGTGGAAACCCTCCAACAGCTCTCTGATATCGATGTTCTGACAAGCTTGACACGGGGGTATCCTGTAATATATGGAGGCGAGGTCATTCCATGGGATAGGTGTAGGATGCTTGAAGTCAAATGTGATAGCTTGGAGCCCGACCTTTGTGCAATCACGTGAAGTAACCTCCTAGGTCTTCAATACCAATGTCGGTCTAGTCTTAATTAGGCGCAATCACTCTACTGTAATACTTGTGAGGAAAATGCATTTGAATGAATGATTCCAACCGAACGAATCTTTAAGATCTGTTTTTTTGCGCACGGATAGCAAAACATACCAAGTGGGACAACGAACATTGTGCATAACCCCCTCAAGAGAAACAAATATTAGTCTAAATTCTAATGTCCCGTCCCCAGGCCCAGATTCTAAGATAGCCAATATCACACAGCCACCCTCAGGTCCATGCGTTCCATCTAAACTTTGTACCTGAAGGATCGACTGAAGTGGATCGAGTGGGGCCGAACCGTGGTTTGGGATCAGCTCAGTGAACCCTACAGATCTTCTAAGTGCCCAGTTGGCGACTACTGAAACTACTGTGTATCAATGGGATGAACAGTAAAACAGTATACATGGACTACGTGACACAGATATCAGAGACATCAAGTCGAATGGAGTATATTAGACAAACAGATACACATAATGTACCTACGATGAACCAATCCTCGACCATCCAGCACGGAGTGTGATAAATAATGCAGACCAGGTGCTGGATGAAGAAATCCGCCCCCCAGCCAAAGAAAAAGTCGAGTCATTCGGTGCTATATACAGTGAAGAATGCTCGTCCAAATCCGTCCCGTAGAAATACACTTAGTTGATAGAATTCATGACCCGGAAAGATAAAGAGATGAGAGAAAAAAGCGATAGCAAAAGGTGACAAAGCAAGTCCCGCCCCATGCACAGATTGACATGAGGGAAATGATGGAATGAAGGGTGAAAAAAGAAATAGGAAAAGGCGGATCAGCCATGATGATAGAAATGTGGAAGCAAGATTTTGAATGTCAACGTAAATCAAACAAAGGGAACTCCAAGAACACCGGCGCCGGGTAATCTGGCCCCCGACATCGCGCAAGGGCCAGGTGAATATCGTATTGCGCAAAAGGACAAAAAGAGATCAAAGGTTTTTAGTTTTCATACGTGTAATTAGGCCTCGCGGTATCCCCAGATACGTTTCTGCTCAGTGACCCACCACTTTCCGACTTGCTCGGCATCCGAAAGCCAGGCAGCGGACTCCTCGCCGTGTTTCGGGGTGACTTCTTCAATGAGAGTTTTGAGGGTCCAGGCCTTGATGGGATGATCCTCGTTGGGATCTTCGCCCAGGTGGGTAAAGGAGTATTCAAAGCCTTCTTTGAGAGGGAGGATAAGACGGTAGGGAACACTGGCAGTCGTGACGGAGAGCATCGAGCCACCGGCATTGATAAGGCCCATGTTCCAGACAGATCGCTTGGCAGGGCTATCAGGATGAGACCGGGCCTCGAACTGGGACGGTTCGGGCTCGGGCTCGGTTTTCGGTGAGGGTGGGGGTGGGGGTCGACGATGATGGTCACCATGACCCTTGTGGGATGGCTCCTTAATAGATGCGAGGAAAGGACGGAGCAAAGACTGGCCCTGGTACTCGGGGAGGAGCGCAGAGGCGATTTCGGAGTCGCGCTCATCCAGGGAGTTGGACTGGACGAGGAGGTCCAGGATGGTGGGAACAATGGTGAGGGCGGTTGCGTTGGCGGTAATGTCCACTCGTGGCATTTGCGGGTGGTGGAAGACAAGAGGCACGCGGAAGTTGCTGATATGACCGTTTTCATAGGTTCCGGTCATGTCCTTGTTGTCCTCGCCGAAAGCTTGGCCATGGTCTCCAACGACGACTACCAGAGTCTCGTTGGCGATGCCGGTCCGGTCGAGCATGTTCATAATGTCGCCCAACCAGATATCAACGAATCGTGCGGCGTTCAGGTAGTTGTTCATCAGATCGTGGTTGATGCTTCCTTGCTCACCCATGTACGATTGTTTCATGAAATCGTCGGGCGTGCTCCAAGGGTGATGTGTTGTACTGGTGACGTGAGAAAGGAACATGCGGGTCTTGTTGTTTGCAGCCTCCTCGAAGAGATCCCACACATAGGGTCGAAGTTCAGTCTCGGCATATCCGAAGTAGTTAATTTCCTTGCCAGAGGCGTGGTACTTTGCGTGAGAGGATTCCAGGGTGCTCTTGACGACCTTGTGCTTGAAGCCCATGTTTTCGTTGAGGACATCCTGGCGGTCGTAATCGTCGGTAATAGACTGCATGAAGACAGGCTTCCACGGGTTCTTCAAAGCCTCTGACTTGGAGTTATCCTTGGTATCCGGTGTCAATTTGCCTTCATTGAACAATTCAAAAATTTGCGGCAAGCATGGCTGATAGATTTCTAGCGCTGCCTCCTCCAAAAGATCCACTGGCAACGGGTTGACACCGCAATGGCTTCCTAGAATACTCTTGAAAGTCAACGAGCTGCCTGTCATAGCCCCGCGAACGTTGAGGCCGCCCATTCCTTCTTCTGTTGGTGTCTTCCATGGCGAATCTGTCAGATTGGCGCGGTTTCCCTTACTGTCGGTTGCGTATTCGCCAGTCAACTGTTGGGCGACGGGAGTCATCGTCACCAGACGGTCAATCGCCTCCTCCACATCCTTCTTTTTATGAGAGGCAAGAAGGTTATCAAAGAACGGAGTGCCCTGCTGTGTAGGGAACATCTCCTTTCGGCCACTTTCAAGAGTTAATAGTACCACATGGTTAACCTGAACTGAGTGTTCCTTGAAAGCCTTCTTCAAGGGTTCATAGATTTCGCCGCCCAAGTTCCTAACCTTGATGGGGTCATTCTTGGGGTTATAGAATCCGCCTTCAGCACCACCACAAACATAAGAGTAAGAGTTATCCTTCACTGCGCGGTCGTGGGGACTCATATCCCATCGACTAAATCCCTTGGGTGGGTTTTCGGGAAGCCAAGAAGCCCGTGACCATTGTTCCACAAACGAATCGGGCTGGTATAGAGGGTGAGAATTCCCGCTGGCATCCACAGTCATCAGAGGGAAAGGCACCGCGGGTTCACGACAACCTTCGACCGTTGCGGACTTCTTCGTGAACGCCTCGAGCAGTGTCAGTGGGAGAGCACCGGAGAGATGGTCGTACGGGATCTCTGGGCGAGTGACTTCCAAGAAAATGAGCGACACACAGATGGCGACGGCGGGAATGATGCGACGGAGTGATCGGAGGTCAAACGAGGCCATGCACGACTTGCTAGGGGCAATCAATGTATACCGTGCTTTGTATCCTCCCATACACAGGTCTCGGATTGCCTGCAACCCGAGGCCGGTGAGGTTGTACACGTGCGAGTGAATCAACCACGCCACTAGTCCGAGGACCGTTGCTGCAGCAGACACAGTCGAGATACCACTAAGTAGGATCTTCATGGCGGCTGGGTCGCTGAGGAAGCTCCCACCAGCTGCCCAGGCCACCTCGGCACCGGTTTGTAGGAAGAATCCGAACTGAATCGACGAGGCACCCCATGTTATTAGGCTAGTGTTTTGTTAGTCCCTGTTTCAGTGCCGAGAGCCAACATTCTTGGTGGCTTCGTCTTTCACATCCGGGGTAAACATACGATAGACCCCCACCTACGGCGGTGGATAACCATTGCCAGCGGCCTTCCGGTGCGTGGAAGCGCAACAATAACCGCACACATATTATGACCAGCACATCTGGTAAAATGAGAGTTGGCGAGTAGAGAACGAAATAGAGGAACGGTAACGAGCGAATGTGTAACGCAATGTGTAAAGCCTTCGAGGCGAGTCCACTTACGACAAGCGCAGAGAACAGAAATGGTGGCAATGGCGGTGAATAGGCGAAGATGGACATGGCGAACTCATGTCATGATAATTTTGGAGTCGCGAAGTTGAAAGGAAAGCAAAGGGGGAAAGGAATGCGGAATGCGAAAACAGAGAAAGACGAGAAAAGGGAAACTATTCTTAGCCAGTGGAGTAAGGAAATACATCTGAGACCCTTGGGGCAATCTCGCACGCGACTTTGCGGCTCCAACTTGCAATGCTTGTCGTTTATTGAGCCCGTAGTTGGTTTCCTTTCCACTTCCACTCCCACTTCCACTCACAACTCTCGACTCTCAACTCTCGACTCTCCACGGGTCCCTCGGTCCCTTGTGGGCCTCTCTCTCGGATGTGACGGAATCAGAGACATGTACAACTTGTGAATTGTGCTCCGTACCTGTCTGTACCAGTGTATGGTACGGAGGCAAGGTGGACCCTGCATGGCACTATTCATCTAGCACTTCCAAGGCTTTTTTTCCCGGCCTGCCCTGATTCGCCCCGTGACTGAGACACGTCTGAAGCTCCAAAAGGCAACACGGCACGCAACCTCGTGTTAGACTCGCTAAGAATCCGGGGTTGCAAAATGTGACCATCGGAGAGCTGTTCACGCCCGAACCCCGTTCCCCACAGCGATCCGGCGCCATCCAGAAAGTGTGTGTCAAACCACGGTCTCTCTCCAATTAGTTTTTAGATTGGAGGCAAATCAGGCACCAATGTAATGATGTGATGTGACCCTCCAAGCCCGCCACAAAAAAGGGACCGTGGACAGCCATGGAAAAGCCACCCTGATCTCCTTGGATCGTCAGGGATCCAGTGTTCCGATGGCATCTCTAAGCCTTGTGGAGAACTCGTTGATCGCATACCTGTTTTAGTTGCTGATGCCCACCATGTCTTGCTTTGTCTTGCTTTGTGTGCGATGCATATTACACGATCCATTATCCCGTTCAGATGCATACTCAAGCCTTTGCCTAGAATGTGTCAAAAATAGGGGTCTAAGCCTACCCGCCAAGTGGCCTTGGCGTAGACCCTGCAGCAGACTGGTTCAATGCTGTTGCGCGCTTGGTTCGCGAACATGTGTGATTTTGCCATTGCTCGGTGCATCGCTCTATCGGTGCATCGGGTCTTCGAGCCACCTTTTTTTTTTTTCATTGTGTGGACGATTGCCCCCCCATCCGAGTCATGGTTGTTTGTTTGGGGTTTTGTGTTTTTCAGTCCTCGATGACATGATTCAATAGTTTGGCCCCAGGGATACTAACGCACCGGGGGAAATGAAAATCCACTGTGCATATGCAGATCCGTCCAGGATTTTACAAGGGATTTAGGCTTATATTAACTTCGAGTCGCACGCCCCCAGCTTCGAGTTTACTAATCCGATATTCCCCAAATTCCAAAGTTGAAATGTTTAAATTGACCCTCATCACTCGTAATCCACTCAAATGCAATCTAAAAGAAAACAACCTATATACAAATCCCGAAGCACGGGATACAACCCAATTACCGCAGATCCTTCAAATCACCACGCTCCCTCACAGAAGCAGCAATACCATTCCCAACCTCCGACCCCAACTCCTCAAACCCCTTGACAACCCCATCCCGATCACCCTTACTCATCTCCTGACTCATCTTGAACTTCCCCTGCAACCTCTCAACCCGAATCTCGATCCCAATAATATTCTTCTTCAACAGCTCCACATAGTTAACCGGCGCATCAGACACCTCCCACGGAGTCGGCTTCTCACCACCAATATTTCCCATGATATCCCGCTCAGACTGTCGCGACAAATCCTCAACCTGCTTCTGCAAGAAGGCGCCTGTCTCTTCAGCCTTGGAATTGCAGTATACGCTAATCTTGCCGTACGCTTGCACGGCTGAGTAGTTCCACGTCGGGACGACCTTGCCGGATTCTGGTTTTGTTTCTGTGTAGAACTTAGGTGTGACGTAGTGGTGGTGCGGGCCATTGAAGAGGATTAGGACTTCGTCGGCGAGTTCGAGGGTGCTGTTTCCTTGCGCGTTTTGTTCTGCTAGCGCTTCCATTAGGGCTTTTGCTTGTGGGTTTTGTTTTGCGATGTGCCCGCGTAGGATGCCGCCTGGGAAACGGTCATCGTTCGAGGAGGGGGTGTCCAGCACGAAGGGGATGTGGCTTGATTGGATGAAGGCGTGCGATGGGGATTTGATTGCTGTTGTGAGGATTCCTAGTGGGTTGTCGCGGATGAATTGTTGCAGTACGGGGATTTGGCCTTCGGCGTGGACGGCGCGGAGATACATTGTGGGTGGTGGCTGTATAGAAAAACGTGAGGAGACTCAGTTGCGTTGAAGAAGTTGGATATATACTTGTATGTCCTGCTTTATACTTCATCTGTCATATGGGGAAATTTGGTTGCAGCGCGCATAGTTCTTGTCATCGCGTATCCGTGTTGCTTGATTGGTAGTCGGCGCCGAATGTTGTAGAGGCTCTCCATTTCTTTGCCAATTGCTTTGCCAATGCTCCAACCATCTCGTTCTAATTTATCAGATAGTGAGTCAGACCATAGTGGGGTTTGAAAGGGCGTGATGCTGCTTTTCCGCGGCAACTCCCGCAATGCCCGCGATTACCGTTGAAGTATACATCAGACTGCTATTCGTGCTGATTCGTGATCTGGGTAGGAGCAGGAAAACTTCAAAAAGAGCAGCGTATGTGGATGCTCAATCCTTGCTGGCTATAGCTTGTATATGGTGTGACCTAAGCGTGTTTTGTGTGACATTGAATTGGTCCTATGATTAAGCTAACTATCCATAGATTGTAAGGGACACCAGAGCAAAGTTAACCACATGTTTGCTTAGCAAATTCGATTCTGCTTCGAATGCATCGCATACTACTGAATACAACTACAAGAACAACATTGAGGTATAGTTCTAATGTATACCAAGTACGCTGGCAGGCACTTGAGAAAAACCACATATATATCAAAAGTAAGATATCTTATGAGTAGGGATAGCCAAACCAAGATAATATAAAACACCAATAAATGACGCCAAGCAGATGATTCCCAAAACACCGGTGAACCACAAGAGTCCTAACAAGACCCAAGTTCATGCAATGCGCGACACAATCTCATCATTCCCTAACCGATCCACAACCCCATTCTTAAGACCCAAGAACTTCTCGATCTGTCTCCGAGACATACCCTGCTTATCGCGCATAGTCAAGACCTGCTGGATAGTCAGCGCATCCAGGAATTGCCGTCCAGGATGACCGGCAACACCAAACGACTCCGCCTCTTCTTCCGCAAGCTTGTTGAGTCTTTGGCGGGCATTGATAACTAGCAGGGCTGGGTTCGAGGACTGAGGGAAGATCGTTTGCATTGGGCCGGGGCGGCTGACCGTGCTTGAGTTTGAGTATGTTGGGACTGGGTTGACGGGGCCGATTGAGCGGAGGGAGGCGGCGAAGTCGGGGTCTCGGCCGTCCATGTCGATGGCTGGGAGATAATGGTTAGCTTTTTGCTAACGATATCGGTGGTTCAACTTTTGCGAAGGGCGCGGAGATGTTTGGATGCTGGAAGGATTGCGTGGACGAGACATACCATCAGATTTTACGTTGGAGGCTGGCTCCTTGGAGTGATATGTCGGCCCCTGAGACGAAGCATTAGGTGTGCGAGGAGTTGAGGGAGTGTATTCAAGGTTGGGTGCTGCAGTCGCAGGCTTCGGTGTCGGTGCTGCTTTTGCTTCCTGAGGAGCTTTGCGCTGTCCCGTCGGTGGAGGAGCTGCCTTCTTGGGATACTGTCGGCGTGCGGCAGCAGATGCCGCTGACTTGGCGGGCTTTGAGGCAGCGGAACCCATTGTGAATGTTGAGGCGTAGAGTGTTGGAGGTCGAAGCCTTTTTTGCGACGGAGGTCGGGGAAAAATCGCGGAGGTCGCCTTGGCATTTGATCTGCCACTAAGGTGACGTCAAAATATAATCAACAAACATATTGTTTTCCAGTGCGTTTACTGGATTGCAAATGTTCAAGATAAAGTATCACTGCTTAGATCATTGGTGCTAAACATCATGAAATGAAAGCGACACATAAGGGAGTGCATTGGCGCAAAATGCCCCGGCGTATAAGCCAACTGCCGGATTCGAGGCTATACCGGATGAAATGTACTACAGATAGATTGAAATAGGGATAAATCCAAAGGTTTGTCTCGCTCTTATATTGCTGTAGAGGCTTGATTTTGCAGAAACACACTGGCATATCATCATATCTAAGATACAATACTGCATGAGCCCTGATATCCATGCAGTATGCTTCGCCGATACAGAACCGGGACTAGGGCTCAGACTTTCCAGGCATTCTAGAGGTTTAACGGAGACCAGCAAGGCGGCGACCCTGTACCTCGCCCAATGCGCGGCTTCCACTGACGAATGCGACAGCACCGACAGCAGCCACAGCGGGGAGGATCTGGAACAAGTTCCAGGAGGTGTAGTAGAGGAAGAAGATTCCCTCGAAGGCGACCAATGATCCGAGGAATACGGCGTGAGGGAGAGGGGCGGACTTGAAAGCAGTGGGAAGGTGGCTGACGTTGGCACCGAGAAGGAGCCACTAGAGGAAATGGATTAGCTGTTGTTTATACCACGGCATAATAAGGCGTCTTACCAAGCCAGCAAGAACTGGGAGAGCAGCGCCGACCATGGCGACAAAGGCCAGAGTAATGACAATGGGTGGGTTAGACGGAGAATCCTTAAAGATGTGGTGGATCTCGGGCTTCTTGCCATAACGCTCGGTCTCGACGGTCGGCACGGCTAGTTCGGGGTTGCGATCAATTGACAATCGGAACACAGAGCTGTCATATGCATCCGATGTACCAAATCCGCCAATTACCACACGGGCATCAACTGGCTCGGGGAGGGAGAGAAATTGGATTGGCAGGTCTTTCTTGGTCTGGGAGCTGTCAGCTGCGTCACTTTGGGATGTTTCGGAGTCGCATACCAATTCCACTCTTGACTTGCCATTTTCCTTGACAGTAAACGGATAGGAAATATCCAATCCAGTATGGGTATCCTTTAGCAGAAGGAAAGCTTGGTGGGGGCGCTTCGGGGAGCTTCCTTCCTGAGCTGTCAAGGTGACGCGTAAGGTATCAGCGTCAACGATTGAAACGGGTTTGGAGAGCGGCTTGGAGGAAGCGAGCCTATTGCAAATGCAATGTTAGCACTCTTCTGTTTGAACGTATTGAGAGACATACTGCTCCTTGAAGCCTCCATTGACACCAGCGCCTTTGCGTTGAACGGCCACGGTGGCATCAGTAAAGCCCCAAGCTGACGCAGCGGCGCCCGGCAGGGCAGCAGCAGCCAGTAGGCAGAATGGAACAGTGGCCTGCCACAGATGCATTGTGAAAGAAAGAAAGGCAAAAGCAAAAGGAGTTGCAGTGAAAGCTGAAGCTATAGAGGAGGAAGAGGGAGTTGCAGAATAAGGCGGACAGTCTGAAGCCGATAAGCGCCGATCAACCGTAGCCCTAATTTCTTTTCTGCTCGACCTCAACACCATCCATCACCGTTATTTCACTCCCGCCACCCATTCGTCCCATCGTTATACTTTTAGCACCGTTAATGAACCTTTAATCTCAATACTGCGGATGGGTGCACCTCTGGTCCCGTGAGTTTTCCCTCGATATGTCGGGCCCTAATCCCCTTGTCCCCTTCCTGACGGTCCTTCTGACGTCGGCCTACACCTGACCCCCCATATACTCCCCTCACCCACTCTAGCTGCTGTGAACATCCCTCACCTTTTTTTATATACTTCCCAGTCGCTCTGTTTACTGCACGTCGTATCCGCACGAATAGCTTAACTGACCAATCCCGGACATTTAGCATTAAATCACGATGCCTCCAAAAAAGGGTCAGCGTAAATCGATGCCAGCGCGCATCAATAAAACGCCTACACTGACACCCTCTCGGCGCTCACCACGGGTTCCTCCTCCTCAAAAAGGCCCTACTGAAACCACCAACCCACCCAAAACGCTGAACCTTACACCCGCCTCGCCCGAAGAGTCTTCTATCAACATTCGTTTCTACAACCCTAAACCTGCTGCGGCTAGTTCTCGCTCACTGGCTGAGGTCCCGGAAACTCCATCCGCACGCCGGCGAGGATTTCAGACCCGTCCCTCTCGTTTGTCAACCGTCTATACACCAACCATAGATACCCCGGCCAGCCAGGGCAGTCGGCGGACCAGAAGGACAGCTGCTCTTGAAACACCAAAGAATGATCACTCCGACTTTGATCCTCTGGAGGGTATCGGTGGCACCGGCTGGACCAACGATCAATACTTCGGCGCCCTCGGATCAGAAGGAACAGCGGACGGTCCATCCAGCCCCACCAGTGCGTCCGACATGCGGAACTCATCGCGGGTGCGCAAGCCTACAATCAGGGCTCTTGAATCTTTGGAATCAGTAAAGAGAAAGCCTCGCAAGAACGCGAAAGCATCTACTCCGATCGGGGAAAAGCCCGCTTTCCTCTCAAAGCCTACAAAACATAATGTCCTCAAGAAAAGCGCCAAGAAAACTCGCACGTCAAAGCGCATGGCCAACTCGAAGACGCAAAATAATATGATCTTGATCGGTAGCGATATTGATGTTAAATCCACTGGCAAGGTGCTGTTTGAGCTCACTCTTGAGGCCCTAAACCCTGAGTTTATTCTTCCAATCAATGTGGACGTCGAAGAGTTCATCAAAGAGAGACGGGATGAATACTATCAACACAGCCAGGAAGAGAAGTACGGAACTACTGCGTCTGCCGACGATATCCCTTCGTCCAAGACTGGCGATGAAAGCGTCCCAGAGTCCCTCGTTCCAGAAACCGTTGTCCCGGAAACTTCTGTCGTCTCAACATCTACAACCTCAACTCCCGCAGCTATATCTACTGACACTCCGGGAATATTGGGCTTCGAAAAGCAGTCCGACACCAAAACGAGCAGCGACGGATGGATTGAGACCGGCTACGTCAACGACAAAGCTGAAGAAGTCTCTCTGATCCCCGAAGACTACCATCTTTATCGCTCACTGCACACCTACGGGGATGAGAACCTACCCTACCCTCCTGTGCGTGCTCGGACGGATCAACAGGGCGACAACGACTCCGCACGCGGCTACCCGCCTCTTATCGGGTCCCGCAACCTCCCCGTCGGCTCGCAGTCACCTTTCCGGTCAGAAAACGTGGACGAGGAAAAGGCCAAAGTGCTATCCCGCCCCCAGGAAACGCGCGTTATCGCTCCAGCAACTACCACTCGCAAGCCTCGCAACACGCGCAAGCGTCGTCAGACTGCAGCCGCAGATACGACTAACCGGGGCGCGACTCTCGATAACGGTGAACGCAAGTCAAAGCGTCGTCGTCGCCAGACTGAACCCGGCCCTGCCGCTGCCACTGACCCTGCTATTGCTCCTACTCCTGCTCCCGCAGCCTCTTCCCCTCCCAAATCTGCGACGAAAGCCCAGTCTCAGTCACGTCAGGTCGCCCCCGTTGCCACGCCTGCTACTGAAGATGTAAAGCCCAAGGTGCAGCGGATCCGTCTAACACTGAAGCCCGCACCCGAGGCTGAAATTAAGGGGGATGACTCGTTTTCCAACACAGATACCCCCGCCGTGCATTCCCCCTCGTCCGCCCCCTCGCGCGCGCCTTCCCCCGCGCCGACCCCAAAGCGCCGTCGTCGCGGCCCAGCCAAGGGAAAATGAGGCCCTACTAGTAGCAAGAGCGACTACCATGGTCGTGAAACATACCCGGAGGTCGATACAACAGGCGTATATTGGCTTTCGCTCTTATTTTTTCCCTTCCTGTTGTTTATTTTTTAACTTTTTTGTACGATTACGACTAGCGGGCGTTCGAGCATGTATGATTAGCAGGGAGCATACCATGGCGTTCATTCCATGGGAATGGAATTCGACTTTTCGTCGAGTTGTTTCCAGTTTTTTACTTCCCAGTCAGCTTACGCTTACTCCTCGTAATGCATGTCGCTGTTTAAGTAAATGGTGTTTTCAGATCTTGCTGACGTGGCGCTTACTTCCACAGTCTTCCGTATCTATTTGCTCGATTCGAACTTTGAGACCTTTGCTTCGTGGCATTTTAATTACGCCTCGCCCGGCCCCTATATAACCTATCACTTCCTAGGCCAACCCTGACACCTGGCAGCTATCCATCTCGTATACGTTCATCTCGTTCAGATACTGTAGGAAGAGCTCCCTGGTCAAGCAGTTGTTGATACCAAAGGAATGAAGACGAAAGTTCATGAAAAATGGCTGCTAGGTCTAGTGAATGACAGGATATTTATGGCGCGCATTCATCTGCGAAGGGGCCCGGGTTAAGACTATATGAAGGAGTCCATGCCATCCGATTAGGGTCTATCTGTGGCTTTCTACCACCCAGCATCTCTGGCGCCCGTCGTGAGTTGTCCTAGATCAGTCGTTTGGACCACGAGTAGGTACGAGCTGTCGGTCTTTCCATTTCAGGTTTCAGTAAGAAGATATTATTTTTGCGAGTCTACCGGCTGCTATTCCTCTGCTACTGTCATGTCCGTACCTTATATCACTGGCCAAAAAGCCAAGCGAACATGCATTTAGCTCTAAGCTACTGTAGAGCAAAATAATCCGTACTCTTCGTCCGAGCTATAATCTTTCCAAGTCGACCGGGCAACCGATCTGGAAGACATCACTGCTGTTTTCTCTGTTTTCTTGACGAAAACGGACGTGGAGCGAGTAAATAGTAGCTTGAAGGTCTTCCACGAGACCATGGGGTTCCCTTCTTGAGATATGGATTGCCAGCTGGCTTCTCAGGCGACAAGTATTCTTTGCATACACTGCGGCAACAATCATCGCAGTTGGTAATTCTAGCGGGAATCCCAAATGAAGTGAAATGAAACAAGTATCACAAACTATGATATAGCCTTTATTGCAGTCACCTCAAAGCTTTCATTTTATCTCCAAAAGACCAGCGGGAGTGGATTGAGAAATTTAAGGGCACCTTCGGGTGTCCTTTGCCATGCTTGGTGATATAAACGCTGTTAAGATGTCAGGCCTTCCCCGTCATATCATGCCTATACAAGCTTCGTCTGGGTGAGATTGGAACTTCAAAGTCATATCGAAAGATTCTTGCCACAATGTCACTACTGTGTAACAAGCTATTTGCTTTGCTCAATGCGACACCGGTGTTCATAGCTTCACAGGTGTCAATAATGAGGTTGGTTATGTTTATTTTTATTTCAGCTTTTGCTCCGCAGAATAATGTATCTATCCTCTTTTCACTGAAGATGAAATGTATGCTTTACGACAAACCAAACCGGTATACCCGATAATACATGATCTCAAATAATATTCAAAGTTGCAGAAAATGACAGACTTGTAGTCCCGAGGGTTTCGGTTCCCCGCGGTTATTCGGCAATTCCCCCGAAGTGATCTGCGGACCCCGGCTCTGTGACTCTGGCCCTCCAGAATTCGACATCAACTACCGGGGGCTCAGAGCGTAAGTCCAATGCAAATGTCCATGGGGCGAGATTCTCCTGGTCTCGCTCACAAGTCACCCCGCACATCGCGAGCATGCGACAGATGCCGCCGGCAAAAGCTCAAGGTGGGCAAATCACTGTCAGGCACCGCCAAATCCATTTTCTGTTTCTGACTAGATATATAGTGTGATAGTTCTCGGCCTTGTGTACTGTGCACTCGGGCTGGGCATGACTGTGAGACATCCCAGCGGGCAGCGCGACGAGCTCGCAGGCGAAATGGAGGCGGAGATTTGCACAAGTCCTCTGGGGTGCATAAATCAATCGCACCAGCGATATCTAAAGGCTCTCCCGCCACTCCTCTGGCCTCAGTGGTAGTCGAAACATATGCCACAGAGAGCTCAACTTCCTATCCCGAGCATTCTCCAAAAGAGCCACAGTCTGGCGCCAATGCTTCCACAATCGATTTCGCCAGACGTGTCTTCAATGAAGAGGAAGCCGGCCGAACCCTCACCGGTGCATCTATTCCCGGCGACACAGGGGCCCCTACCTTAGACAATTCATTATGGCATCTAACAGAGGTGGAGCTACCCCCTGAGGATGTGATGCTAGCCTTGATTGACGCCTATTTTGACCGAATGCAATGGTTCGTCATGCTGTTTCACGAGCCATCCTTTCAACAGACAGCGCGCAGGATTCTATCTAGAACCTCATGGAGGCGTCAAGATCTGAGTCCCACCATGGCTGTTCTAGCAGTGGCCATGATCGGTTTGCAGTGTGTGCTACCAGATGAAAGATGGAGAGGGCATGAATTACTACGACATTACTCAATCGACGGGACAAAGCTGATGCACGAGTTAATAAATGAGATACGGATACATCTGCTTGATATCTCGATTGACTGTCGGGTTGAAGCGGTCCAGGTTTGCTTCTTGGTGTCCTCTTATTATGTCTATCATAATTCGCCGAGTATTGCCTGGACGGTCTCCGGTATGGCAGTGCGATCTGCCTACGCTCTCGATCTTTATACGAAGTCATCCCGGTGTGATGATATTGTGATGGATGAGATTCGCTCTCGGTGCTGGAATCACGCGATTGTCGGTGATACATTCACGTCTGTCATTTATGGACGCCCTTCCTCCATTGATACGGGGCTAGTCGCTTTGCATTCATTGAAAGATATTGATGATTTGATGATCGATCCAATATTGCTCAATAATGAATGTATACCAGACGACATGAGGCAAACGACGACAGCTGGCTTTTTCGCAGCAAAATATGAGATTTACAACATCATTCGACATATCCTTTCCCGCTTTCGGCGTCTTCAATTGAGAAAGGAAAAAATGGAAGAGGATCTACAGTTCATTGCAGAAGCTACACAAGACTCAGAGGAACAATTGATCTGCTGGCGAAAAAAAGTTCCTCGGCTGTTCGACTTCGAGGTTTGGAGCCACAACAATAGGCTTGAGCGATTTCACCAGCAAATTGAGAATTTACCTCCACGCGCAAAAGCCCAGGCAGAGATCATCGTTCTTCAGGCAGCTTGTCTTCAACTAACATATGATGGGGCTCTGATACAAGCATGCCGGCCTCTTTTGGAACAGAAAATTACAAGTGCGTGTTCGCAGTATGTGGTTAACGCAATCTGTCGATCCTTGAGAACGGCTACAACAGCAGCACTTCGAATATCACGCATTCCGGTTCTCCAGTTCAAGCACCACTTTGCTGAATCTTTTGCTTCTTTGCAGCAATTTACTGCAGGAGTCATTCTCTGCATCTCACCAACAAGCCAACCCTTCTCTGCCATAGCACATGAGGCCAAGGCCGGTGTAATGCGCATCATTCATGCAAGCACAGCATTCGGTCCACACAACCGGATAGCCAAGCAAACCGCACAGCTCCTTACGGAATTACTCAAGGTGACCATTGAGCGGGAGATGTCTAGTGCTTTGAAGGGAGGACCAAGTTCTTCAAGAGATGTGCCTGACAGCAATGTGAATTCGACTACACAACGAGTACCGCTCGATCCTCCCGCACCTCAATCTTCCTATTGCCAAAATACATCATCCAGCCTTCTTCCAATGTCAACAAGCGGGGTCCCACGGCATCCAAACCAGTGCACAGGTAGCTTCGAACAGATTCACCGGCCTGGTGGGCTGGCACATATGACAATCCAACCATCTTTCGAACCCTCGGAATGTCCCTCCGCAAACATCTTCGAGCAACTCGATGATACCTTCGGCGCCTTTGGGGAACGTGGGTTCACCTATCTTCCACAACACACGTTAGCCTCGCTGACACGTTACAGTAATGTTCAACCTGATACCGGATGACCAGAGTAGTGCTTGGAACTGGGGACGAACTTTTCCCTGAGTGAGATACCATGAAGTTAAGGAAGGGGCAAAACAGGTCATTGTGGACTCATTGTATAAATGGGTGTAAATACCGCAGGAATTCGAGAGCTTGGACGCCGGCTTCAATAATAATGATGAGCAGAATGGGTATCATCAAAACAAGGATAGGGCTTAATGCTAGAACCAGAACTGAAGCGGCAATGATAACAGCCAGCCAGAAGCAGAAAGATCCTAGGTTCATTGTTGAAGTCGCTTTGTGATAATTGTTTGCGATGTTCGTGCATGAGCGTCAACGAACGTGATCTGCCCACAAATATGTTCGTAGGCTCTGCTACCTACTTTGGTAGCTTGAGGTCATTATCGTTTACTTCAAATTTTCAGATGTTCTGTTTGGCGTGTTCTTATTCCATTAGGATCTACCACACCCGACAAATGACACGATGGGTTATATGTCTGTACGAAAACTTCATTGTCCAGTCTTCATCGTCAGAGCAGTGCAAACACAAACATTTCCTTAATCTCCCACTTGGTCGTAGAGCATAATTGTAACATTGAAAGCATTGTCCTAAATTACATATTCATTCAGTTCATTCTGTATCTGCTAAAACCCACTTTTCCTTTCTCCATCACGTCGTAACCAAACCCAAAAGATGCCCACGAGCATTCTGAACTTTCGAAATAACAATTTCCGCAGCGGGATATGTCTGCAGTAGATGCCCCGCCGCTTCTTCGCAAGCGTACAAATTCGACATAGCCTGCTGCCTCACGATCTTGTCCGAGACCTTCAGGTCGGGAAGACTGGCCTCGAGGATAATTCCAATAATGGTGACAGCACTTCCGGGGAGTAAATGCAGCATGCTACAGTCGTGCAGCTCGTTGAGGGTTTCGTTGACTTGAGATGCCAAGCCTCTCATCTCCGGCAGGGCAGTTTGGTCGAGTTCGTCTCCCCCTTTTGATGCGGCTATATAGAGGATTGACATTGCACTAAGATGGAGGAGATACAAGAAAGCCTGGTGAACCAAGAGAACAAGTTCTGTAGACTCGGGGTGTAGATCACACATCAGCGAAGGGGGGAAGTAATGTGCTAGGGGAGGAAGGTTCTGCATCCAAGTTTTGAGAAGCTGTTCACAGCTACCTGTGGCATCTTGTGATATCTCTGGCTTGGGAACAAGTTTATAGACGGATTCTCCTGATGGTGAAGGCGTCCATGAGTCGTGATAAAAATACTCCACGATTACTCCGACGCAGTGGGCGAGCTTGATCTCCTGGATAAATAGAAGCATCATTCGTTCTTGATTCTCCCACTTGAGCATAGCAGAGGCCTCTCCCAGCATGAGAAGGACGAGATCATGATATAGCTCAGAGGAATAGTACTTCGTCGACTCCAACAGCGACATTGTGACATCGCTATTGGGGATCCGTAACGGGCGACGGAAGCCAAGGGATAGAATACGGTCGCGAACATAGAGACACCACCATAGCCTGTGCTTGTGGGAGAAACTTCCCAGCTCTAGACTGCCGAGAAGACCAACACGCTCTGCTGTCGAATAGGCGAGATCAAACCAGTAGATTGGGTCTTTGTGACCAATGTCACTTCCATGCCAATGCGTCATGAGTAATAGCGCTTGGATTTGGGTATATGCGTCATTTTCGGTTTCGAACTCATAAAGGAGCTGAGGAGGACATGAGTCTGATGTTTGTCATTCCATGCAATAATTACTCACTTTGGCCCTCTCGAATAATGTCCTTCTCAATGCTTTTCGCGAAGAGAACCCGGCTCCGATGGCAACTTCCTGTGCAATGAAAGCACTTCCAGCCAGCATGACAGCTTGATGAAGAAGCGGACTGGTGAACTTGGATTCGTCCTCAACCATGGCTCTGCACAAGAACCACTGTAAATCAATGATTGGAAGTAAAGGATGGACATATTTGATATATGCCCCAAGCAACTGGTTGCGGAGCTCAATTGGAACAATCCTCAGCGCCCCTTTTAACATCAAGTATTCATGATCCTCTTCAGAAAGATGCGGAGGCCGCAAGTCAAATGTTCTTTGTAACTCAAATGGCTGGTTCTGTTCCCCGAGAACGAGGTCCGGTGTTCGTGGTGAGAGAAGCTCGTTTATCGTCATCAGATAGCTGTCTAGTGGATATGTTTGAGGAACATTGTGTGTAAGAGTCATATGTGGTCCATCGGATAAGGGCTTGCTTCCCGGTGTGATGAACTGCGAAAAGGCATCTAAGGGTGTCAATATCTATTCAAGCCTTTCTGTAACTTTTAGCGGTATGTCCTACCTAGATCAACTACACCACACATGTCCACATGATCCACATCCTCGGTATTAGAGAAAGCCTGGGCAAGGGTACTAAAGGAGGATGCCACATCCATTGGCACGGACCGCAATTGCTTCTTAGCTCTGTTGTTCAGGGCATTAGCGCTGAGCTATTCGCCTCGGCGTTCTTTTTCTCTAGACTCGGGGCAATATCTACCTTGGGTCTTTGGGGATGCGGCAGTGAGAATCGCTCGACTGACACCTGCGACAAACTCGTGACTTTTTGTCTGTTTCGCACCGAAGCTTCGATCGTCTGCACTCAGTACACGCCTGTGATGCTCGTTGAGTAACTTGCTTCATATTGATAGCCAATATGGCTCTTACAAGTGTCTTTCGGGTCGCCTAATGCGTTGCGGATTTGCTCTCAATATGAACAAAAATGACACGAGGAACACGAGAAACACCCCCGGTGCGTCCGCGCACATGGAGGGATGACGGATCCACACACCCCGCATTTTTCCGGGGATACGCAGCTGATCTGACTATTAATTGGCTATTAGATATGTTTATGGTTGAGTCTGGACTTAAGGCTGCCGGCAAGTTGCGGTGAGTGGACGAATATCTCCACCGGATGTATAGGGAACTTCCACCGGCACTTAAGCAACCAATCACAAAAGAGAAGCAGTTGAATGTCAATTTATCCCGGAAACATTCGGTCAAAGCTATATGGAACTACTAGTAATACAATAGCTTTGCATTACTTTTCCAACTCTTCCTCTCTAAACTACAAGTTCCCTCTACCACTTCCAACAACCATCCTTATGAACAAAGCAGCCAACATTCCCATCCCTTTCTCCCATAACAATCCCCAAAATACCCCGTCCAGACTCCAACGGATCCCCGGCTCTACCCTGGGCACTAACAGCAGCCTCAGTTTCACCCCTCAAGTTAGACCTAACTAACCCAGGACAAAATGCAAAGACGCGCACCTGGCCCTGCAGCCGCTTGTGCATCTGAACAGTCATCATATTCAGCGCAGCCTTACTCATACGATACTCATCCCAAGGCGCAGCGTAGTGCGGACAGCCGGGGTCTGTCGCCTCAGACAATGAGCCCAAGCCACTGGAGACCTGGATGATATAAGGCTTGGAGGATTTAAGGAGAAGCGGGAGAAAGGCTTCCGTGACAAGCATTGCGCCGATGACGTTTGTCGAGAAGATCTTGGTTAGCTTTTCGCGCCCGCTGATTTCTGGTGCGGCTGTTCCGGCGTTGCTCATGAATACGTCTACTCGGCCGTAGTCTTGGGTTACTTTGTCCACGCCTTTGGCGATTGAGGTGTCGTCTTCGATGTCTAGGTGGAGGACAGAGAGGGTGCCTTTGATGCCGGTACTTTGGATTTCAGAGAGGGCTTTTTCACCCTTTTTCGGGTCTCGGCATGCCATGATTATGTGGTGGTTTGGGTGTTTAACTAGGACTTGGGTTGTTGCATAACCGACGCCTGAGTTAGCGCCTGGATAGGGTTAGTTCAGTGGTTGACGACTGGGGGTTTCTTTGGGATTGTTGCCTTACCTGTGATGAGGATGATCTTGGATTCGGACATTTTGCTGTTGTGTATTGTATATCGGCTGGGGTCGTATTGGGTGCCATTAACATATATATATACGTAAATCCAGTGTTAAATCGGCCTTCCAGGGTTCAACATGGAAATTACGATTGTTAAGTCCGTTTATATCAAGATTCAACCCAATTTCTTCAATTGCGTTTTCCCTCGTTGAGTTACCCAGACAGAATCATGTTACGCAAACCCGGATATAAGCCCTCTATCGCCGTCTCGGCATTACCGGAACACCCGACCGAGCTCACCTCAGACTCCGATGATAGTTCTAAAACTGGCAAAGAATACTGCTATGCTCTGTAAGCTACTTGATAAGAGCGCAGCTTTATGGCCTTAGGCATATCGGGAAGTCTGAGTTCCCAGGAGAAAACAAATCCACAAATAGCTTTATTTCGGCAAACAATAAGATCCTCTCACCATATTCACAAGACGAGCAACTGAGACCAAGGGATATCTATTCCCTTGAAGGTTGAACTTCCGAAGATAAGCAAGTTTAAAAAGATCAGTTTTCTAATGATCCATGCTACCGACAGAGAGAGCCGAGTGCAATGCTTAGCACTACACCTTCCTGAAGGAAGTCAACTACATCCAGATGATCTCAATAGAACCGAGTTGCTGATATATCTACAAGCGCAGTATATTGCGGCTCAACGCATTCAGCCAGCACCAAAAGTGAGGGGTACACTTCAAAAGGAAGTACGTGTACTGTAGATGTCCATGAATCAATTTCTGCGCAGAAACGGTTGAATACATTAAACAAACAACCCCTTAAAGCATCGAAAAGAGACCCGAACATAGCTCGACGCCCCTGAGAAGATCTCCAGAAGGAAGCCACACCGATTAACCATCTCATTCTCTTTTTTGATCACAACCTTGGAAATATGTCCGAGGACCATTGAAGTCCACTCCATCTGATTGGAACAGCTCCGTGGAACATAGGGCCCCGCCATATCTCACGCGGGGAAGGACAGGGCGGAGCATCCCTAAGCCCAAAAAACCAGCCAACCACTCACCAATCGCATTGAAGTGATCGTCACGCCAAGTCCGCCTATGAGGGGGAAGAGGGCGCGCTCGGGATCTTATATTGAGAGCTAGGACAACTTGAATGGAACATCAAATTACCACATCAGTTTAAATAGCGGAATGGCCCGATTTTAGGCCTTGACTAATAGTGTTAATAATTATATCATGACAATAATACTTGGATTATCCGGTTAATACCCCAGGGCAAGGAGGGACCCTTGTGCCATGCAACTCGGACGCAAGGGATTGGACCTCGATTCGCGATCCTTGCAAGGTGGAATTAGATGCATAATCAGTTCATTTCTTGCTTGGTGACCTCATTCTTAGACTCAAGTCAGACATGCAGGCAAGCTACATGTCAGTTCGTGGATGAAACAAAAACACTAATGTCTTTACGCGGGCGATGTATGTATGTCTAGGGTAAAGATGGATCGGCTGTCGCGAGTCTATTGCCAACGCCGATGATTCTCCGCAAATCTTGAGGACTGATCCAGCATTCCATCGCGTGAGCAAAAGAAAGGCAGAGAAGGAATAGTGATTCGCTGGCAAGAAATACTCCACTGCATACCATCGCAGTTGTGATTTGTCGGTTCCTGGTCACGGACTCGGGATTTAGCCGTATAACCACCGATGTACTATTGTGCATATGGATAATCTTGGAAATTCTGGTTTGTCTACCGTCTAATCCGCAGCTCGAACATCTTAATCACTCCATGCAGTTTCTGATCTCATGGGCTGTGGGCTCACTACATGTAGGTCGACATTATTGCCATCCCTTCCAATCTTGGCATCTGCATAACTGCCAACCACGCCAAGCAGACACCGATGCTTCCTGCAATCCGGCATTAGGCCCCAACTGAGTTCTTTGCTGTCTTAATTCAGAATGCTTGGGCTTCTCCCTGCGGGGTTGATCAGCCCTTGTGGAGACATTTCTGCCAAGTGAGCATGCTAATACATGCACATGTACCTTCGACGATGCCACTCGGTCGAGTCCAGGGGTCTGAGGACCGATTCCCTCTTTGTTGTCCATATGCAGGGAAACATAGTGCCATCTGGACATCCCGCGTGCGCAGGTCTGATGTATTTAAACTCTGGCATGGGCCCAATTATGCTGAGAATGTGACGCTTTTATTCCGAAGATCTTCGCTTTTTCTGTTGTGTGCCTGCACGCCTGTTGATCTTCGTATTTCTGATCAGCATGCATTTAGCTCGGGGTGCTGTGTTTTCGTTGCTGCTGGCCACTGGTCTAGCCCTTCCTGGTAGCGAGGGTAGTAAACACCATGCGAACAAGGCACGCAGTGCAGGTTATGCTTTGAAGGAGCCTCCTTTGACCACACCGTGGACAGACAAGGTCGGCACTGAGCCTTGGCCTGAATACCCTCGTCCGCTGTTACAACGGTCTGAATGGAAGAATCTTAATGGCGTGTGGAAGTACCAGAATGCTTCCGGTCTGAATGCAGTTCAAAATCCACCCTTTGGACAAGCACTTGCACAGGATGTGTTGATCCCATCGTGTCTTGAGAGCGGATTGTCTGGTATGTCTTTCAGTGTTAGCCATGTCATCAACTAAATCTAACAAAATGCGCAGGAGTCCAAGCTGACTGGGCTTTATACTCGTGGTTCTCTACCTCTTTCGAGGTATCTTCCTCTTGGAAGGGCGAGAAGGTGCTTCTCAACTTTGGCGCCGTAGACTATGAAGCGACAGTATTTGTCAACGGTAAAAAGACAGGCTTTCACCGTGGTGGATACTTCCGCTTTGCTTTGGATGTGACAGAGCACCTGGTGTTTAACAAGCAAAATGAACTGTGAGTACAGCTGAACCTAGAAGGCGATCAGTGCATCTGACTCAAATTGCAGGCTTGTCTTCGTTCATGATCCCACAGATGATGGTGACTATGTGATTCCCATTGGAAAGCAGACTCTTAGGCCAAGTCACATCTTTTACACGCCGTGCAGTGGCATCTGGCAGACTGTTTGGCTCGAAGCTGCCCCTGTAAACCACATCACGCAGTTGGATATTGACGGTAATATGAACGGACAAGGTGAGTATCCAAAGTCGGTATAAGAGAGGCTTAGACGATTCTGACGATAAATAGTCAACATAACTGTGCACAGCTCAGCAAAGGATGCTCCTGCTGAAGCCGAGGTTACCGTGCACAAAGATGGGAAGGTCCTTGCCACCCACAATGGTCCGACCAATAAGCCCTTCCAATTCACTGTGCCTTCGCCCAAGCTCTGGTCTCCCAACTCACCTAACTTGTACAATGTGACCGTCAAGTTGGACAAAGACGAAGTGGAGAGCTACACCGGCTTCCGCACAATTTCCCGCGGCAAGGTTGATGGTATTGAGCGGCCCCTGCTGAACGGAGAATTCATCTTCATGTTTGGCACCCTGGATCAGGGCTACTGGCCAGATGGATTGTATACTCCTCCAACCCGTGAAGCAATGGTGTATGATCTCCAGGTGCTCAAGAAGCTGGGTTTCAACATGGTCCGCAAGCATGTAAGTTGTATCCATAATGTGTTGTCTCCCGGGCTTATACTCACACTTTCGCAGATCAAAGTCGAGCCCGAGCTGTTCTACCAGGCATGTGATGAGCTTGGCCTCCTTGTAATCCAGGATATGCCATCATTGCGGCCGTCACAATCCAAGCATGTGGAAAACTGCAAATCGGTCCCCATTCTTCCAGACGAGAAGCAACAGGCAGAGTTTACCCGACAGTTGGATGTCCTGGTCAACCAGTTCAAAAGTTTCCCCAGTATTGCCACATGGGTAAGTTGAAACTTCGGTTTATGCAGGGGCTAGATCTAACAAAGATTGTCTCACAGGTCATATACAACGAAGGCTGGGGCCAGATCACAGACTACTACCCCGAGTTCGGACTAACCGATCGGGTCAGACAGCTGGACCCCACTCGCCTTGTGGACTCAACTACTGGCTGGCACGATCACGGTGCTGGGGACTTTAGCGTAAGTATCCTTGACATGGAACATGTCACACGTGGCTGATTGAGATATAGGACAACCACCACTATGCAAACCCACAATGTGGCACGCCGTTCTACTCCGCAGACTCGAGTCCCTTTGATCCTAGCCGCATTGGGTTCCAGGGTGAATTTGGTGGCATTGGAAATAACGTCTCCATTGAACAGTGAGTATACCAATTTTCTCGCTTAATTCTCCACACTAACTTCTATCTATAGTCTCTGGAAGAACCAGGCTGCCATTGACAGCATCAACCGAACCTATGAAATTGATACTACCATCGAGGCCTGGAACTATCGTAGTCATATTCTCCTTGGCGAGCTTGAAGAACAGATCCGTCTCTTCTCGTGCAGTGGGGGAGTCTGGACCCAGACTACCGATGTGGAGGGCGAGGTCAACGGCCTCGTCACATATGACCGGCGATTGGCTAGAACCGACGAGAAGCAGTGGCAGGCGGATATTAAGGCACTTTACGATGCCGCCGCAGCACGTAGCAATGCGACCACGGCAACCTTGTAGGGAATATATTTACTGAAAGGCCGCGCCAACCGACATGGTAGGGATCAATGTGATCAGTATATAACAAATATTGGCTCTTTTCTCTGAAACACAAACTGAATGCTATAAATCCTAAAGTAGACCTGTCATCCAAGGTTACTTATATTAAGCTCCCAAGTCACATTTCCCGCGATGCACTGGTCACTTTTCTTCGATCCAAATAGGTGTCAGCAATGAATTGACTGGCTCTGACACTCGGCACTTTCTCAACTTCCCGCTGTCAAATCTCCCCGGAAAGTCAAATATATTGCTTGGCATGACATGTTCACGGACGCCTTTGACGACGTGGCGCGGAAAGCCGTGAAGACAAGATTAAAAACCCTTATTCTAAACCACAAGAGAGGGACTGGCCACGAAGGAGGCAGTGATCGCCTAGCGCGGCTGTTTGAGAAGCGTCTCAGGTTAAGCCGAACGGAAGAAAAAAAAAAGAACGAATGTGGAAATTTGTGATGATCCATCAAACTTGGCCAAGATCAAGATCCAAATTCAAGATTCGACCTCTTCTCCTTTTACCCTTTTCGCTCCGATGGGAAAAATTTCTCTGTCTCTGCCTGTTTTAATAATATTTTCAATAGGATCAGCCCCATTGATCAGGCCATCTCCACTGGCCGGAAAACCCACCCGAATTTAGTATCAGGCCACACGATCACACGACGCCGACTCGACCTACGGATACACAGTTCCATATGATGGATCCAATTCCTGCGGATAGACGGTAGGCATGTTCTCCGTGTTCTAGTGTGCCCCTTATGCAAGTGTTCCCTGATTTATGAGACTATCACTCTATAGAACCGCCCCATTATCGTTTAGCTCCGATTAATCCCTGCTATCGTTCTGCATTCACGGCTTTTGTCCGAAGGCCCACTCGGTCAAGGGTTTGATTCTTTAAGTTAGTTTCTGGAAGACAGGTTCTGAGGGGATCGAATCCTGCTAGGCGTTGCAATAGAACCAGTTTGTTGAGGGGTTTAGTTCCAAGTTCCAATCAAGCATCGGTTCATGACAGTTGTCGTGCATATCCGTTCTATGTATAACATGAATAAGTAACCTGATGCCCGCAAACCCGTCGGCTCCGAACGGAATCCACTTCACCTCGGGTCCTACGCCAGACCGTTGGGGCCGTAGCGGAGTACGGAGGGCACGGCCAGACCAGTAAACGAGAGTGACATACGAGTGTTGCATAATTTATTTTCCTGCGCTGGCAGACAGTTGACAGCTAACGGTCTGACAGGTCTCATTGAAGATGCCATGTCGTCGATGTAAAACGCGACCAAAGCGCATGTCTATAGATGAAGAAGGACACGGCCTCTAAGAAGCAACAACTTAATCTCCGCGTTCCCATGTGGACATCCCAAGTCGCTTGTTTCAAGTTTGCTCGTGTATGACAGCACTCCAGATGTGGGTCCCGTCTTTTGACTTCATAGTTCCGGGAGCCTGAGGAGATTGCAGGGATCAGCCCACACTTGTCTCTCCATATCGGAGAATAACTCCAGTGCCTTGTGTGGTCTGATTCGACCATATCTGATGCATCCAGGATCTGAGCATTTCTCGTGTAATCGGGTGTGACCGCTTCTCTAAGGAAGTGGCTCACCGGCCGTCTTGATCCAAGGTTGCCTGCAGCAGATCCCGAATCGGACGGGTTGTGCATGTTTCGTGGCTTGGGCTATGGTCCTCTTGGAGGGTCAGATGAACGCTGTAATCTAACGGGGATCGCGTGTGGCCACGTATAAATACTCGAACCGCCATGAGCTTGCCACGAGGTGCCCCAGTTTTATATTCCCTCCAAGCAAGATCTCTGATCTCCCTGCCTTCTATACTTCTTCTTTCATATCGAAAACGAAAATACCCCAGGGGTTTGTTACAACTGCCGATTGCGTTTATCGAACATATCAAAAACCATATCACACGATGGAGTACGGTTTCAAAGCGCCTCCCGAGCCAAAGCATGTCGACCGCAAGCTGCTCTACACAAGCTTGGAAGAGCGAATCAAGTACCTGCATGCCTTCCTCGACTTTAACTCCAGTAAGTACTGACCATCTATCTTACCTAGAGTTCGCTAGAACAAACGTACTGACAAGATCCCAGGCGACGTCGAAGCGCTGGTCAGCGGCACAAAATACATCAAGCAATTGATCCCAGCAGTAGTCAACCTGGTATATAAGAAACTTCTCGAGTGCGACATCACATCACGCGCCTTCCACACCCGAAACACAGTTGACGAGACCGAGCCCGAAGAAGACTATCTCGACGAAGACGCGCCCCAAATCAAGCGGCGCAAAATGTTCCTTCGGTGGTACCTCACACGCCTCTGCCAAGATCCAACGACAATGGATTTCTGGCGATACCTGAACAAGGTCGGGTAAGTGACACCTACCTCGAAACGGGCATTCCAAGAATGGAAGAGTGTCGCACACGAACCCCAACTAATGCATTTCACAGCATGATGCACAGCGGTCAAGTCCGCCGATCTCCCTTGAACATCGAATACATCCACCTCGGCGCCTGCATGGGCTACATCCAAGACATCTGGATCGAGGCGATGATGTCGCACCCGCACCTCTCGCTCCGTCGCAAGATCGCCCTCGTGCGCGCCGTGAACAAGATCCTCTGGATCCAAAATGATCTCTTTGCTCGCTACCACTGTAGCGATGGGGAGGAGTTTGCGGATGAAATGTCTGTGATGAGTTTCGATGATCAGGAGGGATACCTCGGTGACAAACGCATTCTTGGCAGTAGCTCCAATAGCTCTGTTGACGATGACCGGTCTAGTATCTCTAGTGGGGTGGCGCCTTCCACTCATAGTGTGGCCCCCTCTACGAAGACTAGTACCTCGGTGGCGGCGTCTGCTTCCAAGACTTCGGTGTGTCCTTTTGCGGATATGGCCAAGCCGTCGTCGACTGAGACAAAGATTTGGGCGAATTGAGGATATGGTTGTGATGCATTTTCTGGCGTTCGGGGAAAAGTTAGACTGGAAATACCTGGATGTTCATATTTCAAGCAAAATCAATGTGTGTGTTCTTGTTGTTACCCCTTATACTTGACACGGAAGAGTTCCGGAAGTTCCGGGAGTTTGTCATGTTTGCTTCCTCTTTCCGGGAGTTTCCCCCACATGACTCCCGACATAACGGCATTGTTTGTTGTATTTCCGCTGTCGGAAGTATATCTCTGGGACGCGATTGAACCGGAGATAACTCACGGTCTACGAAAATTAGGGATCCAGAGGTCACCCTGGGGCCCCAGGTTACAAAAAGCCTCGGAATAAGAACTCTATGCCGCTCATTGCCAATCCCCACCATCTCCTTTCCACTTAGATCGGGCCGCCGATCTCTTTTAAACCCCTCCATGAGCATTGGACTCAATTCGTTTCCGTCCAACTTTCCATATTCCCTTTTAATATCTTCTCTCTCCCTTACACCATGGCGAACGAAAAGGCGGTGACCCCGCTCATCATTAACAATGAGTCCATCGAGACCGATATCAAGTTCGAGGTCTACGCTCCTGCGACCGGCGAGCTGAACGGCTACTGTGCTGGTGTCTCCGTCGAGGAGGCCAAGCGCGCAGTTGACAACGCCCAGGCTGCCTTCCCCGCATGGAAGAAGACCAAGTACAATGAGCGTCGCGATATCCTGCTCAAAGCCGCTGACATCATGGAGTCGCGCAAAGAGGAATTCATCCAGTACCAGCGCGAAGAGACCGGTGCCGGCCGCCCCTTCAGTGAGGTCACCTTCGGTCTAGGTGTGGAATTCATCCGGGACTTTGCTGGCCGAATCTCCTCCATCCAGGGTACTGTGCCTAACGTCAACCGCGATGGCGAGGGTGCTATTGTGTACAAGGAGCCATACGGTGTGATCCTGTCAATTGCGCCTTGGTGAGTGTTCACGTTGAGAGATATAGTACTCAGGTAATCTGCGGAATATAAGCTGACTCAGAAGCTTTTCTGTTGCACAGGAATGCGCCTTTCATCCTTGGTGTCCGTGCCGTTGCGCAGCCTCTCGGCGCTGGTAACACCGTTGTTCTCAAGGGTTCCGAGCTCTCGCCCAAGTGCTTCTGGGCTATTGGCGACGTCTTCCGGCAAGCTGGTCTTCCCGCTGGATGTCTGAATGTCATCTTCCATCGGGCCTCCGACGCAGCGGCTGTCACCAACGCCTTGATCGGACACCCTGCCGTCCGCAAGGTTAACTTCACCGGTAGCACCAATGTCGGCTCTATCATTGCATCCACTGCTGGCAAGTACATCAAGCCTGTGCTGCTCGAGCTGGGTGGTAAGGCGTCGGCTGTTGTCTTGGACGACGCGGACCTGGACAAGGCCGCCATGAACTGCGCCATTGGCTCCTTCATGCATGTATGTACCATCCATGACATCAGCGACCAGGGACAAAGTAACTAACCTATACAGTCCGGACAAATCTGCATGTCCACCGAGCGCATTGTCGTGCAGCGCTCGATCGCCGAAGAGTTCAGCCAGAAGCTTGCTGCAACAGCTGAGAAGCTGTTCGGCAAGGACGCGCCCGCCCTGGTGTTGGTCAACTCCGCCGCTGCGGCCAAGAACAAGAAGCTCGTGGGCGACGCCGTGTCTCGCGGTGCGACCCTGCTGTTCGGTGACGCCAACGCCAACGAGTCAGTCAACACGGCTATGCGCCCGATCATTGTCAATGACGTGACCAAGGAGATGGACTTGTACGCGACCGAGTCATTCGGACCGACCGTGTCGCTCATAGTGGTGGACACAGAAGAGGACGCGATCGCACTGGCTAATGACACAGAATACGGCCTCACCGCTGCGGTGTACACCCAGAACCTGTTCCGCGGATTGCGTGTGGCGAAGGAGATTGACTCAGGGTGAGCGAATCCATCATATCATACCGTATTCCGGAGCCGCTTGAAACAAGTTCTAACTGAGTTTTCTTAGTGCCGTCCACATCAACTCAATGACTGTGCACGACGAATCTATCCTGCCCCACGGTGGGTGGAAGAGCAGTGGCTTTGGTCGCTTCGGAGGAGCCGCAGGCTACGAAGAGTTCCTGCAAAGCAAGTCTGTGACTTGGCACGAATAGATCCAGACCATGGAGATGCCCGGATTTTGGCCCCCAGAAAGACTGGGGCTACAAGGACTTCTCACACTTAGGGCATTAGGCTGAGCCGCATACACCAATAACGGGGCCTCGTCTCGCCTGGCCCCCTGTAGCTAGAGGACCATGCGGCATACTCGGAAGTTACTGTGAAAATCTCAACGAATTGAATGACCCTGTTCTGTGTTATATGCCGCATCTCGTACTCCCGGAGTGAGTCCGTATCGCATCTGCCACGATGTGATTTGTATCCTCGGCACCTCTTCCTTAGTGTTCAGTGTCTGTCTCTACAGAGGACAGTGAAAGTATATCTATAAATAAAGGGAAATAAGTCTAGTAAAAACAAAGAAAGATGAGGCGAGATATCCGAACACCACTCGGAGTATACGGGGCGCACCAGACCCACCATTCCAGGAACAAGTAATATCCCCTGCAAGCCCTACTTTCAGACCGACACTAATTTCGCATGTCTTAGATTAACCCAATTACACAGCCACACTCTCATTTCTGGCTCTGTACAGGTATGATACAGTAGTCCATACCCCAGGCTGTTCCCTTTCCCGGCACTGTTGTAACTCTAGGTCGGGTAAACTCCGCCCCCTGACTATCAACGGTTGATCCCTTAACGAACGGGTGGGATCGGCAAAGCGGTTATACTTAAGACGGTGTCAATGGGCGTTGTGTGGGGGTGGTCCTGACCGTCGCAAATATCAGTGAGTAAGGTTTGTGTTCCCCCGTGGTCGGGGGACACATGGTGTGTGTGGTACCTGCGTGGGAGGCGCCCCTGCATGTACAGGTACGGTATTGTGGCTTTGTTTTACCAGGAAATTAAAAGAAAAAAAAAATAATAGAATTCTGATGGGAATGGAAGGTTGGAAAGAGTGGCGTCAACACTAGATCCCTCGAAATAGCTGAGACCCAATCCATGGGCTTGTTCGGGTGATATTCGGTGCCAAGAGGGTTCCACGTTCCACGGTTGAGAGGGGAAATACTGTAACATAAAGTAAACAAACATGTTTCTACCGCAGTAGGAGTATGTGTTTACGGTGATATAATGTTATGAAATTTTGAACATTTTACACGTCTTTCCCACATTCGATCCTGCGATCCTCCATAATCTTACTGGTATTTTAAATCTTCGGACATTCTCTCGATTCAAGGGTCTGCCCGTTCACATAAAATTAAATCGCCAGGTCCACCAATCAGGGGCGATGTTGTTTTACGCTAACGCATAGCCTTATCCAGTACTGTCAGGCGTTACACCTCGTGGGATCACTGCAGTCTGGTATAGAATCCATGTGATACGGATATATGCACGGAGTATTTTAAGACATGTATACAGAGTATGTAGAGCAATCACAAATACGAACAGCCATAGCCATATGGCCATATAGCCATATATACATGTAAGTAAACAAGTTACTCGCTTGGAACGGGCCCACCATTTTGGGGCCGTGCTTGGCTTTGGACCCCACTTTGCGACATAGAAATGTAAGTCGCCTCCCAGGCTTCCCTCTCTTCTCTTCTCATCCAACTCCTTCGTTTAAAACGATAGTCATTCTTTTTCAGTTATCCCACTCCAGTCACTCTTTGTCAATCTCGACACCGCCAGAATGCGTTTCACTACCGCTACCATCGTCTCTGCTCTCGCCGTCGCCGCGTCGGCTCTGACTAACCCCGACTACACCAAGGACCCTTCGGGCAACGCCATTGTTTCCCCTGGCTTGAACGAGATCGTCCCTGAGGGCAAGGCCTACACCATCAAGTGGCAGCCTACCACCACTGGCCCCATCTCCCTGGTTCTCCTCCGTGGCCCCTCCAACAACGTGCAGCCCCTCAAGACCCTCGCCGACTCTATCCCCAACAGCGGCTCCTTCTCCTGGACCCCCGGCACCGACCTCGAGGTTGACACCACCCACTACGGTCTCCTCCTCGTCGTCGAGGGCACCGGCCAGTACCAGTACTCCACTCAGTTCGGTCTCGGCGCCGCCGCCGGTGGCTCCTCCGAGTCCACCATCAAGATCAGCACCGCCGGCCCTACCAGCACTAGCGCCGCCGCTACCACCATTGAGACCACCGAGAGCACCACCATCTGCCCCGAGACCGAGACCACCTCGGCCCCGGCCACCACCGCTACCCCGGCCTTCTCCACCGTCGTGCAGAGCACCGAGATCACCACCACCATCTGCCCCGAGACTGAGTCCACCAGTGTTCCCCAGACCTCCACCGTCGCCCCCGTCAGCTCCCCCTCCAGCATCCCCTGGGTGTCCTCCGCTCGCACCTCCGCCACCTCTACCGCCAGCCCCTCTGGCACCGCCTCCGCCTCCCCCTCGGCCTCTTCGCCCGCCTTCAACGGTGCCGGCCGTAACGCCATCAGCTTCGGCGCCGTCTTCGCCGGTGTCCTCGCTGCTTTCGCCCTCTAAGCGAAAGGCCTTTTAAATTGTGCATAGTGAAGAGTTGGGCTTGACCTGTGATACCTCTTTTTTTCTTTCTTTGGAGCCCTCTCGAATAATGTCTGTTGTTTATGAGGCTTAATTTACAAATCTTTTGATTCGGACTTTTGGTGATTCCCATCGCTGATCCTCTGTTTCTTTCATACCATGTCTTTACTTTTCTCTTTGTTACGTTGACTGCGTGCGCTTCTGCTATGCTTGTGTAATGTGAAGTTCATGCCTTATGCCTTGTTTCTTGGTAGTGTCTTGTAGATTTCGGGCATGGCTTGTCTTCATGTAATTATGTACATCTACAGATATTCATCACGATTCTACCAAACCCATCCCAAATGCGCAAAAATGATGTCACCACAACACCCCCTTACTGATCGTCACTCAAGTCCACCTGGGACCCAACACGAGGGCTGTCAATCACCCAATCATAACTTACAGCGAGCACGAATGTAACCATCGTAATGTTCGACCTCAGTTGCGGAATAATACTGTGCTATGAACACAAAGTCTCGACTTTCCCCCAGAAGCGCCACCGGCGCCAATAACGCCATCATTAGACGGCACCCGGAGAGAAAGGCTCGGCTGTTCAGGGGGCGGAGTCAGCTTGAAGTGACTGTAACTGTGATCACGCAAGCGGCAAGATGATTCGTGCGATTGATTCCTTTGGTGGATAATTTGAAAGGTGACTTTTTTTATTGCTGTCCAGAATACGGAATGTCTATCTCTCTTCCGTGTAGTGTCTTCTACTTTGAGGTACTCTTAGCGAGCCCCTATTTACATTGTGGAAAGCGTCCCTATCTATTCTGAATGCTTGTCCTTGTGGCGCTCTCTTTTGCTGGTCTCGATGGAGACTGACCTGTCATCGGCCACATGGAAGGAAGGTTAAGTAACAGAACTAGGAGTGTGGTATTATAGTACCACTCAAAGGATTCTATAAACCAAGCTGTACGGCAACATAAATCCAAATTGATTTAATTATGAGCAGACATCTATGAGGTCTATCGCAGCGACCAGCAACAAAGTCCGCATCCAAGCCAAGCGGATATATGACGTCTTCACCCACAAGTCCATCTCATATATGATCAGCCTATAAATAATAATGATCCTCATAGTCCAATTGCCATCAAAAACAAACGACAACAGACCCCTAAACAAAACGAAAAGAGTATCAAAAAAACGAACTACCAAAAAAGGAAAATTACTGCCTCAGGCCACTAACATCCAAATCTTCCCTCGCCTCAACCACATCTCCATCCCAACCAACCAGAAAGTAACCTCCTACCACGCAATCCAAACCAAATCTACCCCCCACCCGACAGGAAACAATGTCAGCGCCCAAACCCCAACAGAAATGGCGCTCCGTAGACCCAAGTGCATGGGTAGATCCCAAATCCAGACCTCCACGCCCGGTCCAACAACCCGCGCCGCGGACTATCAAGGGTGTTGAGGATATTCGGCAGACGAAGGAGTATAAGACTGCTGCGCGGAGGTATGTCAATTCTTCTCTCACTTATGTTTGAGATGTCTTGTTTTGGTTTGGTTTGGTTATGGGAGTGGACTTGACTGACTGTCATTCGTTTCTGTTTAGGTGGACGTCGGCTATTGTTGGGTTGCCGATTGTTATGTATACTTCTTGGATTCTTTATGAGCGGAGTAAGTTTTTTGTTTTTCTTTTATATGTTCTATTTATCTGCAGCGAGATCGCTGTCTCTGTCTGTGGGTTGAGGATGTGGTGCTGACTTGAGTTTCTTCTCTAGTCTATGGCAATAAGAGTGCCAAGCGTCTTGTTCCTCTGGAGAAGAAGGAGTAAACCACCTCCCTCTCTCTGTCTCTCTTCGTTGTGATTAACTTTGTTGTTCTAAAAGCGAATTTGCATGTACTTTTAATAGACAGGACATTTTAGATACAAACCTACTGTGGTAAATACTGTAATAAAAAATTGACATCATCCCATCCCATCCCATCCCATCCCATCCCATCCCATCCCATCTTGTCCAAATCCAAAAAGTGAAAACGGCTCTATTGAATTGTATAGCTTTCGTCGCAGAACTCCGATTCTGGAGTCTCAGTATATATCCAAGGCTATAATATAGACAAGCCAAATAACATAAACAAAAGGAGAAACCACGACACAACCAGCACCCACATGCATCATCCTATTTGATAGAACAAAACCCTCCCGTTATCCTCCCCACCTTGCCAGCCAGCTGGGGTGAAAAGCACGAAGAAAATAAATGCATACAACCCAAACACGGTACGGTATCTGAAAGAGTTCATACAAGTAACATAGCGCGAGGATAGAAGGGGGAGGGGCGATGGGAAAGAAGATATCACATGAAGTGAAGCATATGTATATAGTGAGTATGGTATCAACTGGCAACACCCTGGAGGGGAATATGATGATCAGAAACAGAAGATGGCGGGACAGATGTCGAGCCACTGCCTCCGCTGGGTGGTTTAGCACTTCGCTCGCGCATACGCCGACCCTCCATCAGACCGCGCAGACCACGTTTCTGAAGTCCGATCACACTGCTCAAA